TCGGATGCAAATCTCAGCGCCTTGAGTGAAGCGGGCTCCTTCTCGTCCTGCAACAATACCCGCCAACACCTTTTGTATTTTTGTTTTGCAAGCTCTACGGAAGGCAGTGACGCTCAGACTCAAATTGACCCGAGGTCGTGGGTAAAAAAAAAAAGAAGCAGCAGCAAATGGTGTCGACTGGGTTGTTGCCGCTTCCTAGAAAAATAGGCCCTCAGAGAATTTAGCGAAGCTGAAGAAATCGCGGCGAAAACGGCCTCGGAGCGAGGCGGAGTTTCGTTTGCATAAAACCCGTGATGCATTGCGAATAGGAATAGAAAGGTGGGGTGGAAATTTTTAAAGGCCGGCTAACGTCGGCCTTTCCCCTGTCTCCGTGCCCGTGGTTGGCATCCAGATAAGCTCGGTACCCAGTTGGTGCTATGAAAGGAGCTGCGGGCAAAAGTTGCTATAACCTCAGGAAAGGTCGCTTGCTTAAGAAAAGTTCACGAGTGGGTTTCATCTTTCTTGTGCGGATCACGGGACTGTTCTCGAGTGGAAAGCGGTGTTCGCCGTTGTTGCTGCCGTTGATCTTTATTGAGATCCAAATTCTATTGAGAACCTGGTGTTTGGTTTTAAGAGAAAAGCATTCTGTTCTCTGTAAAAGTGGATTTTCCCTGTCCCCCCCCCTCAAAATCTGATTACTGTATTATCTCTGCATTGATTTCCTAAAGCCCAGAAAACTCAAATCACAAAATATGAAGGTGATTTTGTTGCCTTAAGATATATAATAAGATAATTTGAGTGTTTTTGAGAAGAAGAAACTGTCCTGCTGCTCAAGCAACTCCAAAGATATGATGCATTGGAAGAAAAAAAGAAAGCAAAAATCTTATATAGCTACCTTATATGCATTTTCCAGGAAAAACAGTTCCAAAATTATATTCATCCAGCATACTATAAAGAAATGATATTTCACCAACAAGCAGTATGAGTAAGATGTGAGTGAGATGAAGATCAGATTTTTTTCAGTTCAGTCTGCAGATGGTACCATACATATCTGATTTTTTTTTTCTTGAATTTACTTGCTACATGCAACATGGCAGTCTTCATGGGAATCATTCTTAGCACACTAGTAACTAAATTTAATGTGATCCAAACCAGTGGTGAAATGTAAAATTTGTTACTACTGGTTCTGTGGGCGTGGCTTGGTGGGGGAGGTAATATGATTGGGTGGGCGTGGCCAACTTTTTAAAAAAAAACTTTTAAAAGTATTTTTTCTACAACCTCTTCGGTTGAAGAGGTTGTTGAAAAATGCTTTTAAAAGGCTCTGCCGATCAGGCAACTCAGCTGGGATAGTCAGAACCTTTTAAAAGCATTTTTTCTACAACCTCTTTGAGGTTGTAAAAAAAAAAGCTTTTAAAAGCCTCTGACAATCTCAGCTGAGCCGCCCAATCATCAGAGGCTTTTTTTTTTGCTTTTAAAAGCATTTTTTCGGCGGAAGAGGTTGTAGAAAAAATGCTTTTAAATTTTTTTTTAAAAGCCTCTAATAATCGTGCGGCTCAGCTGGGCATGGGGGGGCGCAGGGATTTTTGCTACCGGTTCGCTGAACCACCCGCCGCCATCCCAACCGGATCAGGCGATCCAGCCCGAACCGGGAGCATTTCACCCCTGATCCAAACACAAGAGATTATGTTAGGATGAGCCCTACTATGAAGCAGACTGAATCAACTAGGGGAGGATATCTAGTAGTGATGAAGTATTGGAGGACAGACCTATGCTATTACCTACCAGTAGCTGCTCTTATTTTTTGTTTTTTTCTCCACAAATTAGCCTTCTATCCTTAGCTATAGTAGAGAATGCTCACCTAATTGTGCTGAAGTAATATTTAATTGCCAATCCGTTCAACTTCTGTAGATGGGGTTATCTGTTTGAGGATGGGATTCTATAATTCAAGCAATTTTAATCTTTATAGGTTTTGAATTTTGTGTTTGTCCATAGTTTAAATCAGGCCAGTGTTTAAAAGGCAATTATAGTGCCATCTAGTGGAACAAAAATTATATCTGCTATTTAAGTATGAATACAGTTTACCTATAGTAATTGTTTTAAAGAATGACTGAGATATTTAGGAATCTAAACAGAAAACTGTTAGCAATAAGCATGTGTCCTTTCCCCCTTTCTTCTGCTTATTTATATAATTTATATAAGCATCTTCTGTACCTTTGGTCACAAATTTCACAATTGGATAGAGTTCCAGAGTAGTAATTTTGAAATGTATTTATTTTATATTGTATTTTCAGGAGCACTGTTGAGGGTAGTTTTTGATTCTTGCAGCTTGTATGTGTTGAATAAATATTACTAATCAGTCAATTCTTAAACATGATTGCTTAATTTTTAAGGATAATTGCTTACATGTTCATATACAGCAAGAATTGGTAATTTTCATTTTTTTTCAATTAGGGTAGAGACACACTATTTTATCCATGTAGTCATAAAATTAAGGGGAATGTTGTTTATTCAGTCTGTATTCAGTTGAATCTCTCTCATTTTTCTCCATAATTGGATATCATGAACAACTATAAATTAATTAGAAGATCAGAACTACTTCCTTTTGATAGAGTCCAATGAATATTGACCTTAGTGTGTCCTTGGAATAGAGACGTGTAGTGGCAGGATTAGGTAAATGTACATGTTGCCCAATCTCAAGAGTTTAAAAATAGCAACATCTCCAGAATGTTGTGTCCACAACAGGTATGATTTTGTATGGTTTTTCAGTATAAATGACTGAATAACATTCTGAGGCATGTTACTCAGTCATTTGTACAATTAAGTGTTCATATCTTAATAATTGTTTAAAGGCAATTCTTTGCCTAGCCATTCAAAAGTAAGTTCTATTGAGATAAATGTTACAAATTCCTATCTAGGTTTTGTAGCAGCTTTTGCCAATCTGCTATTTTCTAGATGTGCTAAGATTTCAGTTTCCAGAATTATTAACCAACAGATTGGGGAAGGTTGATGTATGGTTTACAATACTGGACAGATGGATGCAGTATTTCAATAAGTCATATCCTTTCAAATACTGAAGCAATTAGATTTGTAATGTTACTGAAGCAATTAGATTTACAATATTCTCTTAATTGCAAATAGGAGCAGGGAAAAATTGAATTGTGCGTGCTTTGCCAAATAAATCCAGTAAATGTTGAAGTATGATTTAACTTGGGATTCTCCTAATTCATCTAGAACAGGGATGTGAAATTCAAGGGCCGGGGGCCGGATCCAGCCCGCAGGGTGCTTCGATCTGGCCCATGGGGCCACCCTGGAAACAGTGAAGGACTGGCTTGCGATGCCTCTGCCAGTGAAAACGCAGCCTTCCCAAGCTCTGTTTTCGCTGGCAGAGGGTTTCAGGAGGCCGTTGCAACCGGAAACGGAGTTTGGGAGCCCGTTTTCTATGGCAGAGCGCTCGGGCCAGCAGAAGTGCCCCCGACACGAGTAATGTTAAGCTGGCCACACACCCTGGCCATGCCCCCCCCCGTTCCCCAAGGTCAAACACAACCCTGATGCAGCCCTCAATGAAATCGACTTTGACACCCCTGATATAGAGTTATGCTTTGTATATCTAATCAGAAGTAAATACCACTGAATTGTTGGGATCATGCCAGGGAAATATATCTACCCTGTTTCCCCGAAAATAAGACATCCCCTGATAATAAGCCCAATCAGGCCTTTGAGCACATATGCTAAAATAAGCCTCCCCCTGAAAATAAGCCCTCCCTGAAAATATTTAAATGCAGAGCTGGAAATCAGGTAAGACGGCAAGAGCAACCCCATCTTGTTCCACACACCCCAAAATAATAAGACCTCCCTGAAAATAAGGCCAAGCGCTTATTTGGGGTTTCAAAAAAAATATAAGGCAGGGTCTTATTTTCGGGGAAACGGGTATATAGTATTGTATCCTTGAACTGTGCTTTCTTTGCAGCTTTCAAGTCATATTGTTGGATAAACTCATACAAGTGGTTAATAAAGATAACTGTTAATGTTCTGTGTTGATTTTTCTCAATTCTTTGGCTTCCAATCTTGTGGTCTTATTAAAATGTATATAAGTTAGCAATTAATCTGAAAAATTAACTGCACATTTTATTAACCAAATCTATACACTTGTTCTGAAACATGATCAGAACAGCTTAGTAAGTTACTTAAAAATCACATCAATATTCTAATCAGTAAATTATAAAAACCCAACAATATGCTATTATACAACAAACACCATCAGACAGAAATTAAATAAATGTAAATTGATTGATGCAGGAAAGTTATGTCAAGCAAATTTCCCTGGAAGAAGTGGAGCACCAATACCCAGAAGTCTTTTGCATGCCATTTTATCCCTTCCCTATCATGGTTTTGCAAAGCAAAACAAACTTTCAGAACAGAGTTCAGACACCATCCCCACCAATAAAGCCAAAAGCTATGGTACAAAAGGTCATGAGATTTGAACCCAAATGTAGCCTAGCTTTCCTTGAGCTTAGAGCAGCCATTTGCTCTGAGGTGAAGCAACTGCAAAAAATGTGAGGAGAAAGGGAGATGTGCTCTAGTTTTTTGACCTCACAAACAAAATCCCTTTTACTCTATTACTTCCAGACCAGGAGAGCTCTTGGTAGAAAATATTTCCAATGAGTATACTATAAAGTGTTACATATTGGGAAAAAGTTTTTATAAATCAATATTGTCTCATTTAAAGCTCATTTAAAGCAGTTAATGAGAAATGTCTCTCTTTTTAAACATTGTAAACAGATTTGGCCTTTTTTCATGCCAGAAACAATTACATTTTTATGTGGTAAAATGAAAGAAGACCCAGGAAATAGGCCTACCCCTGGAAACACAAAATTCCCTGTAATTTATATTGTCAGTACTCGGTAGCAAAGAGAACAAATGAATAATCAGTTATGACTCATACACTCTTCCTCAGAATTTTTTTACACTTTTATACTTAGTACTAAAGAAAAACTGCAGCAAGCAGATTAAGACCAAAAACCAACAAGTTAAAACATGCTTTTACTATAGAATACACTATGGGCCATCAACATCAATAGTACACTGAGGGAAATTGTCATCTGGCAGGGTAAGGTAAAGTATTGGTGCCAAAACCAAGCCTGTAAACTGCTTTGAATGAGTCCAGATAATCCATATCCTCCCAAAAATGTAATGCTGATAAACTTGCATCACTTTTTCAAGGACTTTGCCCAAGAAAAGGATATTTATGATAGAAAATAGATGTGAAGTATCTCGTCCAGGGATATCCACTAGGAGTTATATCTTCACCTCTTTCAAGGCAGCTGAGACCAGTCCTGATGTAATTATTCATTTAGCACTACAGGTAATCCTCAATCATTCTTTTAGCAATTGTTTGAAATTACGATGGCACTGAAAAAAGTGACTTACATTTGGTCCCACACTTACAACCATTGTAGCATCCCCATAGTCTTCTGATCAAAATTCAGGCAACCAGCCTGTATTTACACAAATTGCAGCATCTTAGGGTCATGTGATTACCATTGGATGACGGAGCTGTGGCTATCATTTTGCCTTGAATTCACTAAGTGTTCCTGCTGCCTTTTAGAGAGCCAATTCAGTCTCTGAACAGTGCTTCTTAACGTTGACAAGTTTAAGATGTGTGGACTTCAACTCCTAGAATTTTGCATGCTGATGAATTCTGGGAATTGAAGTTCACACATTTTAAAGTTGCAAAGTTGAGAAACAATAGACTTGAAGACATACTTGCAAATGTATGTGTGTGTGTTTGGAAATAACTTGATCTCAGGCAGTAGACTGTTACGGCCCTGAGTTTTCCTCTGAAAAAACTAATTTCCTGGAGGGCAACTTACAGAGAAGGGCGGTATAAACCTACTTCCCTTTTTTTTTTTCAAATTACTGTCGGGGCAAAACTGCATTCTATAAGAGGACATTCAAGTGCCTCATTGTCTAACTTCCGCAACCCAGAATATTTTCACAATCATTACAACAAATTTAGCTAGGATAGAGAATCAGGAAAGGCCTGGTCTTTTTTACAGCTCCAGATGGAGATGAAGATGCTAAAGCTCAATTTGCTTTCCAGAATGGTACATTTTAGTTCTCCAGTGCTTGCCTGTTCTCATCAGCACATTCAGCTGTGCTCTAAAATTAGAGCTTGCTCCTGAAATGAATACAGTTGCTCTTCAATCACCAGGCTGCAAATTGAACAATAAATTCTTGTCTCTTAGTATTTCATGCTGAATTAGCCAGCCTTGGGGGAGAGGGGGGAGGAAGAGACCCATCTACCTCCTGCCATCTAAGGTCAGAGACTGGAGGATATTAGGAATATTTTTTTCATCTTCCTTGTACAATTTGTGTTCCGTTTCAGCTCACCAGTTACCACAAAATAAAATGTTCTTCCTAGGATTCAATAGCAAAGAGGATTAAACATATTTTAGGTTAAAACAAGCATGCATAATTTGGATTATGATATAAATAAGGTATTACTCTATGTTTTGACTCCAGAAGCAATCCCAGTTTCTTTTGAATTTTTAACCAAAGCTATATCTTTGGATACTGATATATTATATACTTTCGTAAATTACTATTCTCCTGTGATAGATATGTCTTGATGAGAGAGGGGGGATGGGAGAGAGGGAGAGAAAGAGATTTTATCTATCTATCTATCTATCTATCTATCTATCTATCTATCTATCTATCTATCTATCTTCTGGTATATACCCTCAGATTGGATTTAGGCCATTGTTTTGTATACGTTCCCCCCCATGCCTGTAAAGTTGCTTGTGACAAGCAAAGAAGATAGTCCTTGGATGGCATCATCTAGTCATGTTAATCAGTCTGTGAACTAGCAGACATTGAAATCAGTTGGAATCAAAGTGTGATATTCTTGGTCAGGTATCAGGGCACTATCTTCCAGATACAGACACCATTATATTATATAATGGTGTCTGTATCTGGACACACCAGTCCTCTACCAGAAAAGCTTGCTTGAGCCCAAATGACATTTTGCCAACTCTCCTCAAATCTGATTTATTGGCACGGCTTAACTTGGCAAGATGTCTCTCCCATCTCAATGTTCCTGATACATCAAGGCTCATAAGGAACACATATAAAGTTCATTCAGTGCAGCCACCTCTTAGTTTTTCTTCAGCTGCTGTTTGCACTTTCCTATCACTCAGCACTGTAAATAAGGCAGACTGCAAAACCCTGAAAAGGGTCTCCTGCAGACACTATGCCATAAATCTTAGAACTAAGGTAGACCAAAGTTATCTTATGTCATAGTGTAACTTTAATTTATTAATCCAAATCTTTGTGTCCCCCTCATGACTTCTTCCATTGTCCACCTGATCTTTTTCTTTGTCTTCTATGGTCAGAAGTGCATGACGGCTCCTGTTCTCCCTTTCCCATATTACATTTCCACATTTTTGCATCATGTTGTGCTAAATGCTGTTGAAATGTGGTGTCTGTCAGTGGAAGAATTCTTAGTAATCCCCAGGGAATCAAAACCAGGCCTCTCTTACAGCTGACCAAGACAGGTGTACAGCAATGGTAGTTGGGCAAATCTCCTGAGGAAACCTGAGTAGGGATTCAAGCTGGAGGCTTTGAGGGTTAGGGAATCCTTTGCAGATTTTTTTTTTTAGCAGCAAGGCTAAAGTGCAGAAGGCAATGGAGTCCCTATTAAGCCAGTAGAGCAGTACAGTAACCTCTTTAATGGAGAGATAACAGTTATTTAATTGAAAAATTGAAATTGCTAACATTCATATAGCACACTAAGCCATAAGCCAGAGTCTATAAACTTCAGAAGTTGGATCCTTACATGATACAAAGTCAAAACCAAATATAGTGTGTTATGATTAAGTGTGTGAACTAGGAGTAAAATCTACTTACCTTCCCTACCAGTTCGGAAGTGTGTGCTCTGCGCATCATGTGCAATTTTGGACCCTCTGCACATGCGCAAAACCTTCTTCGCATGCGCAGAGGGTCAAAAACAGGTTACTTCCTGGTTAAAACCAGGAAGTAATGACGTTCAGGTGGATGGACGGAGCTTTGCGCCACGGCCACTATACCAGTTCACCCGAACCAGTGCGAACCGGTAGCATTTCACCCCTGGTGTGAACCCAAGCATATAGTTTGCCTCTTGCATGGCATTGGTATTATATATATGAATAAACATTGTGTAAAGAAGCACTTTCTTTTGTCTACCCTGAATTTTCTTCCAATCCATTTCAACATGTAAGTTAGCATTGCACAGGAAACAAGAACATGTAAGTATTGCACTGTAGGTTAGTTTTACTTAAAGTCTTGGGCTGTGCCTGTAGCCTAGTCATCTGTTTCTAAATTCCTTATCTCAGTTTACTTAGCCTCTCCAGCTGTGGCAATTCCACAAAATGTACAATGGACCCAAATTTTTGACCTATTAGCATGTATGCATGTATGTGTATATAACAGAACAGATGCTGATATTAGAACAACATGTCTTACGTTACTGCTGTTGTGAGTGCTAAGCAATACTGTCCTTTATAGTGTTCAAATTGTTAGGCTCAAACGAATAACTGCCTTGTCCCTCAGATAATTATTAAAACATGTAAGAAATTATATCGCTATAAAAACATGTAAGGCTATTCTTTTAATCTATCTATTGTACATGCCATTTAGAATCAGTTATGATTGCAGCAGCTGATAGTAAGAAAAGGCAAAACACATCATACTTGCGTTAGTCATCTGACTTCATACCAGGCGGATTTCCACAATTTGCAATGTCATTTGAAAATGCAACAGTTACCCTTTTAGTCAGTAGATGACTCTCTGCAACCATGGAAAGAAGAAATAGAACAGGGGAAGTGTGACAGTGGCATTTGTGTATTAGCCCTGAACAACACATGCACAGCACTTATGAGGCAAAGGAATAGAGCAAGCAAGGTGGATTGTGTGAACAGTTCTTTACAGAGAAAAGCAAAACACCATGAGGTATTGCAAGCAAATACACTCCTAGAGACTCCTAGAGAGGCTCTGGAGGCTGGGGACAGCAAAAAATGTCACTTCCTGTCCCACTGGGAGTTGGGAAATGGGCTGTTTCAGGCCTCCGAGGGAGTGGGGAAGGCTGTTTTTGCCCTCCCCAGATGCATAGAGAGGATCTGGAGCCAGGTGAGAAAGAAAAACGGGCCTACCTGGCCATTGCGTGCCAGGAGCAGGGGGGAGGGGAGGTTGTGTGCGCATGTGCAGGGCGGGGCGCATAGAATTATGGGTGTGGGCATGCACACATGTGAACCTCCCCCGCCCCGCCCCCCTCCTGGCACACGATGGCAAAAAGGTTAGCCATCACTGACTTAGGTGCTTGCATTTGCCCGATTTTTAAGATTTAAAGCCTTTTTTTCATCAGTAACCAGGAGTTTATTAAGCCAGGGAAGTACAGATTTGACTTTGCTTTCTTTAATTCCAAGCACAGAACCCTTTGACTTCTCAATCCTGCCAGGTGACTTTATGCTTAAAATTCTGGCATTCTTTTCTGTTTTCTCAGATGTGTGACATTAATTAAAATTTCATTTATTTCTATAGTGCTGTATATATTTTAACAGTTGAAAAAGTATAACTCACCTATCAGACAGACAGACAGACCTGCAGGCATCTATAAAAAATAGGAAAAATTGATTTATTTTAATTGGTAGAACAGCCTGTAAAGGAATTCTGGAATTAGAACTTCCTTCCTTCCTTCCTTCCTTCCTTCCTTCCTTCCTTCCTTCCTTCCTTCCTTCCTTCCTCTGATACTAATGGGAGAGTGATGAAGGAACTATAGTTCAAGACTAGTGTAGTTATGTCATTCTGAAAGCTTGTAATATAAGATTATAGATTTTCTTCTGGAATGCTCAGAAGGAAAATAAACACCTTCTCCTAACCCTAACTGAAACCTCCTCCCAATTTATTTATTTATTTATTTGCTTGTTTGTTTGTTTTTATTTAGGAACATTTGTATGATTACCAACCTTAATCAAATAACTCTGGGCAGCTAACAAGGTATAAAACTAAAATTACAGGATTTTTTTTTTTTTTTTTTAAAAAAACCTTAATAAATGGAAATTTGGGGAGTTGTACTCCAAGCATATTGGGAAAGCATCCAATTGGATGAAGCTGCCATAAGCAAGGATGGTTTCTCAGGGTTAATATCATGGGAAGACCTTGTGATTCCTACTCCTCCTGTGATTTCAGAAATATGAAAGGAAATAGCTATAATCCATTCTATCTGGCCTTGGTCATCTTAAACTGAATTGATTTATTTCCCATTAACTGAATAAGGTCAAGTCTATAAAAAAAGTGTATTTTTTTTATTCATAAGAATCAGTCATATGTAAAAGCATCACATATCTGTGCTTCTCATTCTCTTATTACTAGAATTAAAGACAAATATTCCCAAAAGATTCATCTGCTATTGTGACTGCTAGGCAATACTAGCAGTCCTTTTATACAGTTAAAGCTGTTAGGCCTAAAAGAAGAACTATCTTGTCCCCCAGAGCACCATAAAAACGTGGAAGAATCCCAGCCTTCTCTCACTGTATTTTTCTTGCACATTATACCATCATATTTGCAATACATGCATTCCTCAACATACGATCACGATTAAGCCCAAAATTTCTGTTGCAAAGCGAGACAGTTGTTAATTAAGCTTTGCCTCATTTTACAACTTTTCTTTTGCCACAGTGGTTAAGTGAATCATTGCAGTTGTTAAGTTAGTAACACAGTTATAAATCAGGGGTCTCTAACCATTTGGACCTCAGGGACCACCAAACTCATAATTTTAAATCCCGTGGACCACTGGGGGGTGGGGGTGGGAAGCTCAGCCGCCTTTTGGGCCTACCTGTCTGCTTTTGCGAGGCCTTCAGGTGGGAGGCTCAAGAGAAAGTGCCTGGTCCAGGCACACAGCCTGGAAACCTCTTTTGTGTTCCTTCTCTCAAGAAGCTTGGTCAATCTGAGTGAAAGAAAATGAAGACAGGCAGACTGACAGTGGCTTGCTGACGTTGGTGGGAAAGTCAGTCCCATATTCCAGAGCTGTAGTAGTCACAGGACTGGCCCTTTGGTCATCCCGGACCAGCTCTTCCACCCGAGTGCATTGGCCTGTTGGGGAGCAGGTAGCTCCAGGGGTGGGTTCTAAATTTTTTTACTACCGGTTCTGTGGGCGTGGCTTATTTTGTGGGCATGGCTTCATGGTCATGTGATAATTATTTAGGATTTAGCAGAGGAACTGGTTTACCAGGCTTTTAACTACTTGCAGAGCTGTACCGATCTACCCATTTATTTTTGCAGGCACTGGTCTACCCATTTATTTTTGCAGGCACCAGTCTACCCATTTATTTTTGCAGGCACCGGTCTACTCATTTGTTTTCTTTTAACACTGATCAGCTGTAGGGCGGCCCTTTGAAGCCCCGCGGCAAGAATTTAAACAATTTTTTCCCCTCTAGCCATCAGCTGGGACTCAGAAGGCAGCAATAGATTAGGGTGGGGCCAAATAAAAGGTAAGAATAACGCGGGGGGTGGGGAGGTGGGGAGGCCAGAACCGGTTCGGTGACATCATATTGTCACCGCTACCAGCTCAGGGGAACCGGGCCGAACTGGGAGGAACCCACCACTGGGTAGCTCCCCTGCAGGCCGGTGCACCTGGGTGGAGGAGCTGCTCCAGGATGACCAAAGGGCCAGCCCTGTGACTACCACAGCTCTGGAATATGGGACCGGGCCATGGTGGGGCTGGAAATCTCCACCATAGGGGGTGGCACATGCAATGTGCAATTTTGCAGGTGGTGCAACGTGCAAAAAGGAGTGCAGCCCTTGCTGGCCAGAACAAGATAATGGTGCTGTTAAGAAATGGGGGGGCGGCCCAAGTGGGCCAAAGTGGCGGTGTGATGACTGGAAGGTGCGGGAGTGAAGTGCTACTTGCATCTGCATGGCATCAGCATTCTGCCTTCGCCGTGGTATATTTGCGCCAGCTGGTGACACCAAGGCAGCCCTTGTCTCCTGCCGCTTGGGGCTTAGAGTGGTAAACCGCATCCAGGAAGCACTACAGCTTTTTTCCATTTTATAATTTCTTCCCTACATTACAGTACACTGTTCATAACTGTCCTATTTTAAATTTAATCAGCATCAACCTAGAATCTTAATCAAGGCAATGCAACAAAGAAAGCAAAGCTAACAAATCTCAGTTCCCCCGCTTCATGCTAAATTTTTTTTAAGAATTTCTACTCATTCCCATTTTAAATGTATAGGCATATTCATGCCTGGGATTTATCCACCCATCCAATACAAAGATAAGTCTTTAAAGCCCAGTGTTTCTAAATCTTTGTTTTTAAATTGCACAGGCAAAAAAAAGCAGGTTGGAAGCAAATGGAGGACTTGGGAAAGTAATGGCGCCAGGGGGGTGGGTGAGGGGGAAATCAGTGAGAAAAACAGAGATGTCCGGAAAGGGACAGCCGATGTAAATAATAATAATTTTAAAAAATCACAGTCAAAGGGGATTTGGGCAGCTAACACTGGAAAAGACAGTTTTGGAAAGCACCAGCTGGGTACAAAAAGAGGAAGGGGACTTTTTTTTTTCCAGAAAGAACCACAGGGAAAGAAGAGGAAAGAGCCAGTCATCTTTGTGCAGAAAAGTCAAGCAAAAATACCTCAAAGATATCTCCAGGAGGTTTCCTCCTCCTCCTCCTCCTGGAACTACTGCTGCTCTTCTTCCTTTTCTTCCTGGCCATAGCCACCCAACCTCTGAAGATCCAGTATTTCCACCTCATCCAAAAGGCTGGCTGGGGGCAGAAGGATGGAAGGGGTGGTGAGGGCTTGGTGAGGTCCCCCTGATGGGGGATGGCTTGAAGTAGACGAAGGGCTCGGCTTGGCATACGAGAGCCAGCATTGGGCTCGACCTGCCGGCTGGAGGGAAGCTGCTGCAGGGGACTGATGAGGAGGCACTTGAGGCTCAGAGCCCTTGGGGCTCAGAGCGATAAACTGCGTCCAGGAAGCACTTACAACAGAGAGAAGCATATCAGCCCCCTGCAAACTCTTGTCTCTTGAGGAGCCCAGCCAAAGTTTCCTGTGCTGCTTTAGCGAGTGCTCCTCGAGAGATGAGAGTTTGCAGGGGGCCGATCTAGCGTCTGCAATGGACAGCAAAGCCAGGGTTGACTCCGGCTGCTTCTCTCCGCTAACAGGTAGCCAAGCTAACTGCCTGAAGGACCCCATCAGTGGTGGGTTGCTCCCGGTTTGGGCTGGTACTGGCGAGCCAGTAGTGGTGATGATGTGACGTCACCGTACCAGTTCTCTTTGACTGGGAGCTGGGCCCTCCCACCCGCCCACGCGTTATACTTATCTTTATTTCTTGTTTTTTAGCCCAGCTGATATGCGTGGCAGAGTGGATTGCCGCACCTCAGTTGGGCAGAAACCTAATGCGCTTGCGCAGAGCACAAGTTTGGCACGTGTGCGAGGGAAGCGAGCATGCATGCGGCGATTGCACGCAAAGCACGTGCGCAAAGAGAACCAGAGGTAACACCAGTTGGAACCCACCACTGGACCTCATCCTGTCTCTGGGAGTCAAAATGCTGAAGCGTGAGCGGCGCCAGGAAAACCCTGCTGGGCTCCTCGAGAGAAAAGCAACGATTTCTCTGCGGACCACCAAAATTTTCTCGCGGACCACCGGTTGCTGACCACTGTTTTAAATGAACCTGGCTTCTACATTGACTTTGCTTGTCAGAAGGTTGCCAAAGTTGGTCACATGACTCTGGGACACTGCCACCATCATAAATATGAACCAGTTGTCAAGCCTCTGAATTTTGATCACATGACCATGGAGATGCTGCAATGGTTGTATGTGTGAAAAAGGGTCATCAGTCACTTTTTTCAGTGCCGTTGTAACTTCAAACGGTCACTAAACGAACTGTTGTAAATTGAGGACTACCTTTATTATGCTTCTGTAGTTTGGATGGCATTGATCAGCATGAATTTTCTGTGTTGTTCCTCTTACATCAAGGGTGGGATTAATGGTATTGTTATACCCTTTCAACTTCCCCAGTGATGAAGCTTCCAGTTTCAGCTGGCCAAGAACATTGCATCCTTCTGGTGAAGACTCTTTGAAGAGACGTTGCCTTAATTTTTGCTGTATTTACAACTTACAGACAAGACTCCAAGCGAGTGGATCTGCTTAAAATGCAGAGGTTCCAATAAGATACAAGTCCCAGTTGGCTTGCAAACAGGCAGGTGGGTAAGTGGCTACTGCCAGGCAAAGGAGGGTACATGGGTTGCTGGCATGGTGAACCTGGGGGTGGCTGCAGTTGGTCCACAAGTTATGGCAAGGTGCATAGAGTCCAGAGGTAGCTGCTGTTGTGTTGGGGAAGGTGCATGGGTGGCCTCTAAGGCATGGTATGGGGCCGGAAGTGGCTTCTGTTGGGTGGGAAGGGGCACATGGGTGGCACGAGCATAGCAGGGCCAGGGTGACTGTTGCCAGGAGGGAGAAAGTGTGAGCATCTTACCAGAGCAACTTGCAATTTTCTCTACCAGTGTTGTTTTGTTGAAAGCTAGCAGGAAAGATTGCAAATGGCGATCACCTGGCCACAGGATACTGCAATCATCGTAAGTGCGAACTGGTTTCCAAAGGATCATGTAACTGTGGGAGTACTGGGACAACTGGAACTTCTAACACTAGTTTTAAGTACCACTTGTTCAGTAACAACATAACTTTGAATGGGTGTTGAACAGTCATTAAATGAGAGCTATCTGTATATCCTCCGTTCTCTGTTATTTGGAATACATGAGAGTGAAAAAGGCCAATATTATGTGCCGTTCTATAATTAAAGTATAAATTGTTTTGGAAAAAAAAACCACAATTTCACAGCTTTTGGTTTAATAAATAGGAGTCTTTATGGGTAAGTACATTTATTTACTTGTGATTTGGAGGGTGGGAATTGTATGGACAATTAAACATCCAATTGTATGGATGTTTTTGGTATGTATGCAGAAGATAAAACAAGATGAAACTGAAAAAATAAGTCTTGCGCTTATTTAAAGAAATGCCTAACGTGTTCTGGATGACTCTTTGCACATAAATCAATTTGCTTATTTGCACCATTCCCAGAGCCAGTGCATTTGAAGGATAAAGTGAAATCTGGCACAAAGAGCTGACTTACTTTGGTGTACGCTGCCACAACTTGTGACCTGTCAAATAAAATAAAAAATTTAGCTAAGGAATTGTGGCTTATCAAATGTTTGGGAAACACTCTTTTGACTTCTCAATAATAATTTTTAAAAAAAACATCGTAATTGACAATAGAGAATGCACTTACATGGGGCAGAGAAAAGAGCTTCTCTGTAAAGTTGCCAAACATTTACCTCTTCCCAAATGTTGCTATTACCTCCTGCGTGAAAAGGTCTTTTATTTGTGAGACTTCTCCACATATAAATTCATGTCATTACAGCCTTTTTGAGAAAGTAAATAGAAAAGCAAGTCTCTTTACTCTCTGCATAGAGCCCCAGTGGGTATCAGTCATTGCAATGGGTGGGTCACCACAATGATTGAGGGCAGATGCATAAGCCATATGAAGACTCACATGGGGGATTGATGTAGGGTTTTCTGAAAATATAAGTTACTAATTTTACACACATGTACCATATTGCTAAAAGGCAGATTCAATATAATACAATTTCAGACCACATTAATTTATGGAAATATGAACTTACTCTTTTGATCAGTGTGCTATCTGCATTATGTAATCTTGTAAACACTGTAGTTTGCAGCTCACATTTATGTGTTCAAAGGTGACAAAATCAAAGCATATCCATTTTGAATGAGAAATATATCAAGTTGGGCCACCTTTAATCTCTCCTTTCTTAAGTCATATAGTGATAGTCTGGGGCCCATTATTTAAATGACAAAAGTACTTTAGGAGGTGGCAAATCTGAGCCCAGCAGTTCCTTTGCTTAGTCCAAGTTCCACAATTCTCCATCCTATAACAAGGATACTACGGTAATTGGTGATAAAGCTATGGTACATAATTTTAAAGCCTGAATTGAATAGTGTTTATCCGTACTCTATTTTAGACAGACACATGCATTGTTTCAGATATGAAACACACTTATTACTTGTCTGTTGTCCAACCTACCCCACAATATGAATCCACAGTTAACAGTTGCATTTGAATAACACACACAAACACAGACACACACACGCTCATCAAAATAACTTAAAGTAGGTAAAGGATATACACAGTGACTGCCAGTGGCATCTCTGGAATAGAGAAACAGAGTACCGTTGAGGGCAATAGCAAATGAAATGGATAATCTGAAAGAACACATATTTGTTGAAATTCAGAATGAGAATCTTGTTCAACATTCTACTTTTTTGCAAATAATTATCCATTAACTTAATGGAGGGCAGAATATGTTATAAGAGACATTGATTTCTATGTGGACAGTATTCTTAACCTAACATTTATTTATTTATTTATTTATTATTCAAACTTCTATACCGCCCTTCTCCTTTCGGACTCAGGGTGATGAACAGCCAAAATAAAACATTTATCCATAAAGTTACAGTTAAAAATAAATTTAAAATAATTAGATAAATTTGGCCCGTAGTTTAAAATTTATCAATTTAAAATCCGTATCAAATTTTAAAACCAACCATAAAATCAAGACAGACCGGCTAACTGAAAAAAATAAGTTTTTAGGGCCCGACGAAAAGTCCGGAGGTCGGAGATCACTCGTATCTCTGGGGGTAGATTGTTCCAAAGGGTAGGTGCCACCACAGAGAAGGCTCTCCTCCTGGGGGTCGCCAGCCCGCATTGTCTGGCCGACGGCACCCTGAGGAGGCCCTCTCTGTGGGAGCGAACTGGCCAGTGGGAGGCTATTGATGGCAGAAGGCAGTCCCGTAAGTACCCTGGGCCTAAGCCATGGAGCGCTTTAAAGATGATCACCAACACCTTGAAGCGCACCCGGAAGTCCACCGGAAGCCAATGCAGCTCGCGCAGGAGAGGAGTCACATGGGAGCGCCCCGTCGCTCCCATAATCCCATAATCCCCCACGCGGCCGCATTCTGCACCAGTTGGAGCCTCCAGGTGTACCCCAAGGGGAGCCCCATGTAGAGAGCGTTACAATAGTCCAGACGAGAGGTGACGAGTGCTTGAGTGACCGTGCGTAGGGAGTCCCGATCCAGAAAGGGGTGCAACTGGCGTATCAGGCGAACCTGATAAAAAGCCCCCCTGGCCACGGCCGTCATATGCCCTTCTAAAGACAGCCGTGCGTCCAGGACAGACTTGCAGTCAAACATCAAATAAAATAGGGAACATTTTCTTTTTTCATCTCTTGATGCGAATTGTGTAGCATGATGGATATTAAATTAATTCAACTGAAAGCAATGTTACATTGTAGGCCAGGCAGAACAAAGGACTTCCCAACACATTATAGGAGACTGCAGATCTACCATCTACCATTTGCTTAAAGAAATTGTAGTCAAGTAAATTCATTCCGCTCAGGCATTTGCTTAACCAAACTTTATTTCTATACTTAATTGGAAAAACAGCATTGTTTGGCCATCAGGCTAGAAAGCGGGAGATTGTGAGTTCAAGTCCTGCCTTAGCCATTAAAGCCAGTTAGTTGACTTTGGGCCAATCATTCTGTCAGCTCCCAGAGTTGTTGTTGTGGGGAAAAGAGGAGGTGGAAGGTGTGTTGGATACATTCATGGTCTTGAATTATTTGTAAAAATAATAAAGGAGGGACATAAGCAAGCAAGCAAGCAAGCAAGCAAGCAAACAAACAAATTGAAACGTGGAGCCTTAACAAATAGACAAATGAACTGAACACAAATCTTCCACGTTTTCTAATCTTTGAGCATGTCCATCTAAAACAGCCTTTCTGACCTGGACCATCTTTTCCCAAGAGTCTCTCTACCTGTCCAACTTGATCTGAGACAGGGCTGTCAAATTCCTGGCCCGCAGGCTGGATGTGTCACACACTGGCCACGCCCACGCCCAGTTTAGCAAAGGGAAAAAAAGTCCCATACATCATGTGACGCCACCATGATGACATGAGTTTGACAACCCTGATCTAAGAAATAGGATATGTTGCAGATCCTGTTTGCTTAAGAGTGTTGACTGGTGAGAACTAGAAGATGGGCCTTCCCTGGTATAGCCCCTGCCTTATGGAATATTTTTTTCTCGGAGATTAGAATGGCTTGGAATGTGTTAAGGTTTCCTGTTTCTTGACTTTATTGTTAACTATCTTGGCTGCTGTATCTATTTATTTTTTGGATGTTTTAATTGTTTAAACTGTTTTATACTTTTAGGATTATATAAATCATTCAGAGTCACTTGGTTGAAATGATGTGTTTGAAATTGAATTTTTAAAAAAGGGAATTGTAGCACCAATGCCCTTAGAGAACTTGGTGTTGGAAAAGTTGCTCTAAAACACAAATTGAATTCCCAGAATTACTTTTATAACTGAGACTTTTCTAGACAACAGCTCTATTAAAATAGTTATAGAAAATTTAGGAAATGGATGTTCAACCAAAATAACCTCAAGGGATTTTATGCTTTAAATGCTGTAGCGGCACATGCTTCAAAATGAATGTGAAAACTGATAAAGGGATGGGTAGTTGGAGAACACCAATGATGAAAGCAGAAATGTTTATACATAAAAAGACATTGTGATTAAGATTTAGCCATTTAGTAACTGTTTGAAGGGGACACAATGGTTCAGCACTTAAAGATGCTAAGCTTGTCAATTTAGCAAGTTGACAGCCAGGGTTTGAGACTCGAGCACTGTGCAATGTATGAGCTCCTGCCAACTTAGCAGTTGAAAAGCATGCAAATGCGGGTAGATGAATAGGTACCATTTCGGTGGGAAAAGTGTGCTCCTTGGCATATAGTTATGCTGGCCACATGACCACGGAAATGTTTTTGGAGAACGCTGGCTCTCTCAGCTAAGAAACAGAGATGAGCACCTCCACCTAGAGTCAGACTCCACTGCATAGGTGAAACCTTTACCTTTACTTAAGTACTACTTATAAAATGACTTTTGTCCTCCACCAAGATATCAAAACAGCTCTTCACTTTAGAAATATCTCCTAAGCCCTACCTACCGGTACTTTCTTATAAACTTTATCAGTTAGCTCTAGTTCTTTCCTGTGAAACAATAAACAGGCATATCTTTTACCTAGTCCTTCAGATATCTGACTCTAAGTGGATGAGAAAGAGAAGTTTAATACAGCAAAAGGCTGCATACTCCCTATGCGTTAAACTAAGCCATAATTTCAGCCGTGACAGCTCTGAAAAACTACTTCAAAAGAAATCTTGTTATCGGTGTTTAATTATACCCATTAAAACTTTTAATTAACATTTTAAAAGTTTGCTTTAGCCCATCCATTTTCAGAAAGGGGCCAAGGCAGCCCAACAGCTACAAGACTGGACATAAAACGCTGTACTCCGACACATTACAATAGCTGACATTCGTGGTTCGGAGGTCTTTTGCAGTGGATGGCGCCCGAAGCCCAAAATGGGGCCCTGAAATTACCCCCCACGAGCCTCTTCCATCCACCCAGTAGGCAATGCATGCATCAGACATGGGCTTCATCCAGTGGTGGGATTCAGCCAGTTCGCACCAATTTGGGAGAACCGGTTGTTAACTTTCTGTGCAGTTTGGCAAACTGGTTGTTGGAAAAAATCATTAGGGCAGAGAACCGGTTGTTAAATTACTTGAATCCCACCACTGGCTTCATCCCAGCTTCAAGCACCTTCGATGCGACGTGAATTGCTCCTCTGCAGCCAACGCCACTGCAGGCCGAGCAAGTCAGCACGTTGGAGCTCAGAAATGGAGAGGGGGAAGGATGGAAGAGCTGTTGTGACGACGAAGAGGAAAGTGGGGGGGTGGGGGAAGAGACTGCTGGCCGATAAAAGGCGAAAGACTGCGTGGGTTATCCGCGTGGACGGCGTGACTAATATTCGTGACCTATGCTCGTTTCCTCCGATTAGAGCAAGCAGGAATAGGGGGGGCGCCAGGTGACAATGTGCGCCTTAGTTCCCCTCGCCCAGCTGACAGTCCCAAGATGATCTCCTCTGACGGAGAAGATCTGATCAACAAGATCGAGGGGCGCAATAAATACCAGAAGCTTCGGGCTCAGTCACCCCAGCCTGCGAGAAGAGCAGGGACAGAGGCAGAGAGAGACACACACGCAGCCTTCTCTTCACAAAGCTCACGCCAAACCCCATTGCAACCCTTCTGAATCTCTCACCCCCTTCCGCCCCTCCCGCATCAAAGCGCTTCACCTGTCCTAGAGGCGCGGTGTCCACCTCCCACCGGCGCCCGCGGTGGCAAACCCCGAGCAACCCCAATCCACGGGTGTTGTCGGTGCCCCCGCTGTTCTTCCCGCCTCGCTCCCGGTCCCTGCCGCGCGCCCGCCGCCAGCGCCGGCCCATGGAACCGCTCCAGCTGAACCTGCAGGGCTACCAAAACGGGGACTTGCATCCCAGCTGCCTCTTCGATGTCCCGAGCGACGGCCAGATGCGGAGAACGTCTCTGAAGTTTCAGCGTCCGACGGTGGACGAGAAGGGCCAGCGCGCTCGGGAAGCGGAAGAAGTGGAGCGACTCCCGGTTCTGGAGGCCGCCTACGCCACCATCCTCCAGGGTTTGGGCGAAAACCCGGGGAGGCAAGGGCTGTTGCTGACGCCTCAGAGGGCGGCCAAAGCCATGCAGTTTCTCACCAAGGGCTACTATGAAACCGTCGAAGGTCAGTCGCTCCTTTCAATCCCTTGTAGGAAAGACCACAAAGCAGCAGATGTTCTTCCATGAAGTAGCTAGTTGGCATCTATGAGGCAAACTTTGTCTGGTCCTTGAGAAACAGTGTTACATCTTCTAATCGGTTCTAACTCTGCTGTTTGGTGCTGAAGTCATGATTCCCTTTCTCATTAATTTTTGCTTTGAGGTCAGCAGCAAAGTATCCTCAGAGGGTGAGAATTGCAGCAGTCACATTGATTTTTGAACATTGCCATTCTTGATGACATATTGCATTCATTTTTTTGTGTAGAAATTGGGTAGCTTGTCCAGTCAATAGCAGTGAGTTATTACAGATGATGGCATATATACCATGTTGAAGGATGGACAGGTAAATGTGCCTCTGATGTTAGGGATACAGTTAATAATTGTAGTAATATTATCAGAGTAGGTAGGAGGCAGAGCTGAGATCTGGATTCACCACAGCATTTGGTTCCTGCATCTTTAACAGGGTGAAATAGTCTGTTGCTGCTGGTTAATAGCTGTTTTAGATCAGGCAGCTGCCTGTAAGCAAATATATCACCATAGCAGGAATGGCTGAAGATCATTCATGATGTACTTGAATGATTTTAGTTGGGAGTTATAGATGATAGCAAGTTGTGTTCTGCAGTTTTCTGTTCTTGGCTGGCTTTTAGTACACTACTTCTTCAGAATCAGTGTGGACCTGGTGATTTGCCATTTAAAGTTAATAAGGTAGATATTGTAGTTAAAATTATTAATTTTGTTAGATACAACTGAACAGAAGTCTCCTGATGATTATATGTATGCATAGTCTTCTTATAGGTCTTTTTGATCATAATTCAAAAGTCCAGGTTCAGTTTGATGATGGGTAAAAGTCATAAAACTTCGCCAATGTCTCTTTTCCTTTATTTGTGGAACTTTTTTTATTACTTCATTATTACTCACTTCTAGACAGTTTACAGTCAAAATGCTGGTATACAATATATATAAAATAATAAGTATAAACAATAAATAATTCTAGTATGCTGATCCAATATTAAGGTGCTGCATCTTTCTTACAACAAAATCTTATATGTACAAAGGTTTTCTGAATTAATCATGCTTTAACAGGTTTTTGGAAGGCTGTAAGAGAAGGGCCATTTGCTTTCAGGTGCAAACTATTTCATAAGAGGGGGGTCATCCAAAGAGAGTTCCCACTTACATATTTCCTTTTAACAAACATGTTGGTAAATGGGTTACCCTCACTTATCTTTTCATGTATATTGGGTTCTACCCAGAATAGCCAGACTCTGTCTTGAATTGCATTTGGAAATTAACTGATAGCCACTGCATTTCCATATATAATGGTATTATATGACGGTAATGGGTCTGACTTATAAGCACATAGGCCATTGCATTTTGCACCATTTGAAGTTTCCAGGAAGCGTTCAAGGACATCTTGTGTGGAGCAGATTACAGTACACCAGTTGAGAAATAGCATTAGCACCCATGCCTATCTTTACTGCATTCTTTTCTATGAATGACTGCATGGTATACCAGGTAGAGCTAGGCATGTTTCTCCTACTTCATGGCTTCCACTGCTCAGATGGAATCTCAGATTTCCCCTACTTTAGTTCATTTGTGAACTCTGGTTCATAGGCTCCTTTATAGACATTCTTCCCAGCCCTCACCTCTGTACAGCTCTGTACAGAAGGTCTGTACAGAAATAAGCATTCTGGCAATAGGACATCTGAGTAGACATCTAGAAAATTGTCTTCTGAATTTGCTGGCATATGTTTTAGTGGTGGATTTTCTTGATTTGTCAATGTAATAAACACTTTACAAGCTTACATTTTAACAAGAATATCTTGCCATGTAATGATCTAGAAAAACTGAAATATGCCTGATTTGATACATCTTGACTATTATCATATAAGATTATGTAATATCACTACCAAATCATGAATTTATATTTTGTTATTTTTTTCCATTCCAAAACAGGAAACAACTTCAGTTGTCTGACTTGCTATAAAACATGCCTCCTAATTCTACACAATTTCATTATAAAAAACGAATATAGTGTTTTGTACATTTCTGTAATGTTTTTCAATTATAAGGATAACTTTGCAAAAATGCAATTATTCCAACCTACCCTCTGGAATGAGGTCTATCATGAGAGCGAGATGGCTCCAATTCTGATATGATTCTAGGAAAAGGGTAGGGTGTTCAGCAGACCAAATTTGTCATTTGATTTATTTTCCACATTGTCATTTTTAAATTCATCTTATTGCATTTATTTTGATAGTGTGAACAGCCCTGAATTGGTATGGAGTCAGGCAAACACCAAAGTGGAAATAAATAAAACACTTTTTGACTTGTACCACTTGCATACTTTCTCATGATCCTTAAAATTGGCTTTACTTACTGATAATTTGCCAGTGCTGCAGTAATGGAATTAAAACACATACATTAGAATTGCCTATTCTGGAAAATTTAAAAAAATCTAAAGAATGTTAGTAATTGTCTATTCATGAATTATTAAAAGCAATTGCTCTGTACATTCTGCTTGCAGTAATCATACATATACAAAACGTAAATGGGGTAAACCAAGCCTAGTTTATTTGATCTCAAAAACTGTAATGGCAAAGAAAAAACAAATTTTGTTTAAGGGAATAATATTTCCAGTTTCATTGGTAAATCAAATGGAGATTTCAATTAAGAATCCTGAAGAGCTAAATAATTTTGTTAAAATAATTTAAAATTTTTAAATAGCCATCCCTTATAATTAGCTTAGCTTCCAGGTAACATAATTTCATAGCAGTCCCTTGAATAAATATTAAAATTAATGATGTCAATAGCAGAAATAAAAATCATGGAACCAGGCCCAGAAAAATATGGGAATCGTATTCAAATTTTGTTGCATGTGGAACCAGATTGTGATGTCGGTTTGTACTTTAACCAGACAGAGAATTGGGGGAAAATTGATAAAGCAAATAAGTCAGAAAAAATAAAATTTATATGTGAATTAAGTGCCCAAATAAAGTGTTGATAGGAGCAAGAAAAAAATAGTTTGTAAAGAATCTAGCAAGTTGCTATAGAGCAGTCATCTTTCTCCTTGCATCTTCAGGCCTGCCAAGCAGTTTACTTGTTTAGTTATTCTGCAGTAAAGGATAAAATTTAGAGAAAAAATCATGTTCTTCCATTTCTTTCTTTTCCAGAGATACTCAATGATGCTGTTTTCGATGAAGACCATGATGAGATGGTTATCGTAAAGGGCATTGATATGTTTTCTCTTTGTGAACATCACTTGGTTCCTTTCTTTGGCAAGGTAATGACAGTGGAAACATTGACTCATGTTGAATTCTATGTCCATAATCTTGAACCATATAATAAATGGAACAAATTTGTTGCTATTTGTAACATGCCTTGCAGAATAACTGAGTAATAATCAATTATACTAATTTTCTACAGCAGTATCAGCAACATTTTTTTCCGGATGAAATTAATAGGCGTCAGTTACATATTCAGTTTCTTCTTCACTGTAATGCTGAAAAATTGAATGTAGAGTGCAACAGTAAATGTGGATGGAAAACTGATTTCTAAGTTCAACTGAAAAACTCATAGCATGAAATACAGGCAGTCATGGATTGAATATTAATACATGAACGCATATACTAATAATTCTTCATCTTCCTTTAATATCTGCAGGTACACATTGGATATTTACCAAGGAAAAAAGTAGTTGGATTAAGTAAACTTGCAAGGTATTTATTACTCTTTTTCTGTGTAATAAATCATTATTCAATAAGGCAACAGTAACAGATAGTTTAGATTACGGTATGAATGTGTCTGATTTTCTTTATATGGAATAGCTATTAGATATGAGAGTTGTTTGAAATATCCATAAAGGTAAATGGGTGTAGACACTGGGGAGGAATACTGTACATCACACAATACTTCATCATACACAACTATTTCATAGTTGAGCTATGAAATGCACGGTTACCAATGATAGATGACAGCCATGCAATTGCAGGAAAAGATGTAACTATTTTAAGGAATGACTGTCAGTTGATATTTGAGCACCCATGTTCACAGAAGTTCCATTTCTCCTTTGAAGTTGAAGAACTTGCACCGCCCAACTGTGCACAGCTTTATTCTTTACCCATTTTCAAGCACTCATTCATTCAGGCAAACGCTTGAAGGGAGCTACAGTATAGTGTCTTTATAGGGAATTTCAGGCATTGAAAGTGCAGCTATCAGCTGGCAGGAGCCAGAAGAAATATTGATGAGTTTTAACTCTGCACTCAGAAAACATGGTTGGTTCACACTGAGATATCACCGAGGTAAAAATAATTGATGACTATCACATCTGAGATCAATTATAAACAAACTTAATCACTTTCTTTCTTTTTTTTTTTTGGAAAAGTTTTTCAGTTTTATTTCTTATACACATAATATAAAATGTACATTTTCTTATACATAATTAATCCTACATATACATGTTTTCCTTAAAGAAAGCATTAAAATAAGGCATTTTAATTACATTCGGAGTTGTTATTCTACCCTTTCTTCCCTCATTTCGCAACAACCCTTCTTCTTCTCCTCTTTCCCTTCCTTCCCTCCTCTCCTCTCCTACTTTCTCTTCCCTCCTCTCCTACCTCATCCTACTTCCCCTTCCTTTCCCCCACTCCTCTCTTCTTTTCCCCCTACTCACCTTCTCTCCTACTCCTATCCCCTACCCTTCCTTCCTCTCCTTTTCCCTTTCTTCCATTCCTCTCCCTCCCTCTCCACTTCCTACCCTCTACTCCTCTCTCCTTTCTTTCTTCTTTGCTGTGGAATATTCTCCTTGTTTGGTATCCGAACAACTCCAAACTTAATCACTTTCTGATTTGCATTTCCATCAATGTCCCTCTCTCATTAATGCATCTTTTTTTCTCCTTTTTCCAGAATTGTTGAAATGTTTAGCAGAAGGCTCCAAGGTTAGTACTTTTTCTGGCACTGTGCTCTGCTTAATAAATTCCACAATTCATAAAGCAGGATGGGCTAAAGGCAGACCAGGACCCATTGACAGTTCTCTGTAAAAGATCATCAACTTTATCTGACCAGGAGAAAGGCTCCATTCTCCAATTAGCCTGTTTGAAGGGAAATCCAGAAGTTGATTTGTGTGCAAAGAAACGGAAAACTCAAGTTTTCATTCCAGAAACAAATAACTTAAGGCAGGACATAAACTTGTGCTAACCCAAGGCAAAGGTTCCAGGGATTTTTAATTTTTGCATTGATTTCATTGCTTGTGTTTTATTATTGTTAGTCACCCAGATATATGTGCCCCAGGATGGGAGATCTATATAAGTTGTTTAAATAAATTATTATTTTTATTGAAAAACTCAAAATTTGTAATAGCAACTGAAATAGATGAGTTTTGTTTCCACCAACAGAATGTGCAAGAAGGGAAGCCTCTCCCTTCCTTCACAGTTTTCTCTTTTATTGGATTAAAAGTTCTTTTTGAAGACATTTCGACCCGATTCAGTCCAGTGTGAACTGTATGCCTTATCCTTAATGAACAATTTTGCGTTTACTTTGTCAATTCATTCTGACTAACGTAATTTTTCATAAAGCACTAATTGATTTCTAGTCCAGGAGCGACTTACAAAACAGATTGCTTTAGCAATTACTGAGGTTCTGAAACCTGTTGGAGTGGCTGTGGTGATAGAAGCCTCGTAAGTTCATCATTCCTTATTTGGTTTAGTTGAATTTGTAATTCTTTCCCTCAGCTGTCAATTATTTATTCCCCTATCCATTTTCTTTTCAGTACTATTGAAAAGTAATGCAATAGCACTTCAGAAGCATAGAAGTACTGGAATAGAAATATATTTACAGTGGAACAGTGTGTGTATTCAGTGAGTCCAGTTTTGTGTCAAAGTGTGTAGCCTGGTATTACTATGCAACCCAGAAGTGCAAATCTCAACATTTTCACAATTGATCTTACTTCCTCTGGTGCTCCTTCACTGAAGGAAAACACTTTGATCCAGAATAGGCTTCTATCATGGAAACGAGAGTATCGGGGGCAATTATCCATTCTTTATCATTATATCTGATAATAAGAAAATATGTCATCTGAGAATGACTTCCATTGAACTCTATCAAACTCAACTTTGTTTTTAAGTAGTCCTACATAAGAACTGTAAAGGGACATGGTGGCTCAGTGGCTAAGACACTGAGCTTGTTGATTGAAAAGTCAGCAGTTCAGCGGTTCGAATCCCTAGTCCTACGTAACAGGGTGAGCTCCCGTTACTTGTCTCAGCTCCTGCCAACCTAGCAGTTCGAAAGCACATAAAAAATGCAAGTAGAAAAATAGGGACCACCTTTGGTGGGAAGGTAACAGCGTTCCGTGCGCCTTTGGCATTTAGTTATGCCGGCCACATGACCACAGAGACGTCTTTGGACAGTACTGACTCTTCAGCTTTGAAATGGAGATGAGCACCGCCCCCTAGAGTCGGGAATGACTAGCACATATGTGCAAGGAGAACCTTTACCTTTACCTTACGTATGAACTGTAATGTCACCAAGATACTGTAGATTTCCTAGGATACGTGGATTTTTTAAAATGAGGGATCATTGATGCTTTCTGAGCTTGCTTGTTTTCTTGCAGATGTTTCATTACCAAAACTAGGTAATATCATCAGTGTTAGTCAATACTAGTTTGAGTAATGAAACATCTGCAAGAAAACAAGCAAGCTCAGAGAGCATCAAGGACCCTTCATGTCACCCCTGAGCTACAAATATTCCCCTTTACTTTAAAAAAAAAAGTTTTATATTAGGAAGAATATTAAAATACATGCTTCTACATTCTGGGATAATGTAGTCCTAGAATTTATATTTAATTTTGCTATTGGTTTTATTATTATTTTTTAAATCAGACTTGTATCAAGGGTTTGAGGCTTGAATATTGTTGGATTCACAGTGTTTGCTAATGTTCTAAAAATGCTTCTTTTAACGTTTTTTGACAGACACATGTGCATGATCATGAGGGGGGTTCAGAAAATGAACAGCACAACACTCACTAGCACTATGCTCGGCATCCTCCGGGAAGATTCAAAAGCAAGGGAGGAATTTCTTGCCTTGATCAAGAATTAAACAGCAGCAGCAGCAGCAGCTTGCGGATATATCAATGGTTTGGAGCATACACAATTGATGATTATAATTGCCTTATGTGAGCCATTATTTTAGAAGCTGGATAATTAAAAAAAACAGAGAGAAAACAGAGTTCATACTTGTATCACAGCTTTGTTCCCATTTTTGCATAACACCCTTAATAGCCTTCTGCAATTGGCTCCTTTGGGAATGGCAGTACTTATACCTAGCACTTCTGAGGTGTGTAAGTTTGAGGAAACACACCCAAGAATTGTGTTGAAATATTACCCAAGCAGTGCAGATACCAATAAATTGGTTTTATTCATATGGCAGCATATATGATATGATCGCACAGATCTCCTTGCATCTTTTGATATACGCAAATGAGAATAAAGTACGAGACCTATCCCACTTCCCAAATGAAAATTGTATAAGATCTGCTTTCCCAACCCGAAGCCCATCAGAGATACTAGTCTTTAAATCCCATATTGTTTTAGGATTAAGAGAGTTAGTCCAAGCATCTGGAGGATACTAGGTTGGGGAAGGCTGGTTTTGGTACTCTCAGTTTGAAAGTTGGATGGTAAGGTTAGGGGAGATCTAGGACTCCAGTGAAAACAAAGCCATGGGGAGAAAAATAGATGATGATTTCAAAATAGTAAAACTCAAAAACATAAATCTCATGCAGGGCATTTCTCTGTTATTATAATTCCTTAAGTTTCACAGAGCTACCTCTAGCTTGCAGTTATTGCTACTCCCTTTTTTAGAGAAAACCACAAGAATGTTGGTGTCCTAACAAGTTCCACTTTCTAGGGGATCAAGGGCAAGATGTTTATTCTTGGCAATTATAATCTAGAAATAATAATAATAATAATAATAATAATAATAATAATAATAATTTTATTTCTATACCGCCCTTCTCCCGAAGGACTCAAGGCGGTGTACAGCCTATTTAAAAACACAAGACAAACATCAATTTAAAATTTAAAATTATTAAATAAATTTGGCTCCATTTAAAATCCCAGAAATTTAAAATACCCCAATTTAAAATTATCATGTCGATAGCCCGGCCTGGCGGAACAACAGGGTCTTCAGTGCACAGCAAAATACCCGGAGGTCGGGGATCTTACGTATTTCCGGGGGCAGTTCATTCCACAGGGCTGGGGCTCCCACAGAGAAGGCCCTCCCTCTGGGTGTCGCCAGCCGACATAACTTGGCTGATGGCACCCTGAGGAGACCCTCTCTGTGGGAGCGAACTGGCCGGTGGGAGGCTATTGGTGGCAGAAGTCAGTCTCGAAGAAAGAGCTATGGTATACTAAAGCCAATTTATTTTGAAGCCATCTAGCTAAAAAAGAAAACTATTATTTAACATTTTGTGCAAAGAATGAAACTGATTAGGCAGGACCCAGTATTTCCCTGGCTAAACAGAACCATATATTAATAGGGTGCCTTCCAAAACTATTAAAACAAAACAAAGCAGCCAAATACCTATTAAAGTGGGAGGAAAAAACCTAGAACCTAAAACCTAGAATACTGATTTATTTCATGTGTGCTGCACAATATGTGGTTTGATTTTTTCCTGAATTAATTATGATTAATTCATAATTAATCATGCCAAGTCTCAAAAAAAAGGAGTAAGTATTTCGATTTCTGAGACATCTATGCCTGGTAAAACGTTATATATATTAGATGATCAGTCCATTTCCTCAATATGATAGGGCTGATTTAAAAAGGCCTTTGTTTTAAGACCTTGATATAATGACTTCAAATATGAAAAAGAGAGTGGGACAAAAACATTTCTTTTGTAAGTAAATCATCCCAAGTGAAACATGTTCAGTGTAAACATCAAATATTAGGCTAGAAGCATTTTCTCTGTTCGGACTGGAAAGGTGTTATAATACATAGTATTTGGCTAGATGGATAATAATCTGCCTTGAGTAAGGCAATTTCCTAGATACCAGCCTTCCTCATCTTGGTGACTTCCAGACATACTGATTACATCTACTATCAGCCTCATTGGTCAACACTGATGGGTGTTAGGGTCCAAGTTGTTGTATATGTTCTTCCAATACTAAGCTGTTTCTATACTGATGGACAAGGCAGATCTTTGTTCTAATTCAAGATATATTTTGAGTTATGCTGCATTGTCAGTTCAAACCTAGGTCACTCTAAGTCACCTATACATTCAACCAAGTGAAATTCAACTTTTCAAATGTTATAGAGCTACAGCGTTTATGTTAGGAATGTAAGAATCAAATTGAATCAGATTTAAAACACTGTCTTGTCTAGCTTTTCTTTCCCACAGTAGCCATCCAAATATATCTGTAGAGGCCATCAGCAGAACATGAATGCAATAGCATCCTCTCACGTTATTGAACAAGTGTTGGGAAGGATGTTCCTTCACGGTTGAAACTAAGATATCTGCTATGCTGCTGTGCTCAGCCAGAATGACTAATGGTTAGCAGTCCTGAGCACTTTTAATCTAAGGGATAAATTTGGGAAGCAGATTGTGCTAGTTAGTATATAGTCTTATTCTGAGAACAGGCGGAAGGAAACTTGTCATACTGTATATCTTAGAGGACACAGAGGTCCTCTGTCTAAGACATATTGGAGAGTGCTGAATATCGATTTTTGGGTTGAAATGTTTTCAACTGCAGTTACTTTTTGCATAATGGCATTTAAAAAAACAACATTAGGAACAGTGGTGGGTTTCAACATTTTTTACTACTGGTTCTGTGGGCGTGGCATGGCTTGGTGGGCGTGGCATGGCTTGGTGGGCATGGCAGGGGAAGGATACTGTAAAATCTCCATTTCTTCCCGATCAGCTGGAACTTGGGAGGCAGAGAATAGATGGGGGCGGGGCCAGTCAAAGGTGGTATTTACTGGTTCTCTAAACTACTCAAAATTTCCGCTACTGGTTCTCCCGAACTGGTCAGAACCTGCTGAAACCCACCTCTGAGTAGGAACAAAAAATAGTAAGTATTTTTGCTACCCCCATTTTGACCTTTAGATCTTTGTGTTATTAAGTACTGTAAACATTACTGTATTATCCTCAGAAAAACTGTCATACAACTTGAAATGTGCCTTATAGACTCCATGCAAAAAAGATGCAGAAAATGTTGACATTTCTTAAATGCAAAACTGTTGTTTGTGGGAAGGGGAGGGCTCTCAATATATAATTATATTTTTAAAATCTACTCGCTAGAGGGGAAAAGGGCTACTATTATATTATGATATTTTAAAAGAGTGTCTGCCTGCATAGCCATACACCGGGAACTGCATATGTTAGCAGCAGAAACACTTGTCCTATTCATAAATGTGAGGCCCTCTCTTTTTTCTGTTAGCTACCAAGTTCTTTAAAGTAGTTTTATTAATATGATTGTGTCAAAGTGGTGCTAAAATGCACATAACTAGTTTATTTAGATCATCATATTCTGCATGTATAAAATGTTTGTAATACAAAACCTATTTTACATTTCTGCTTCATTTGTCATCTTTAAAAATAGTTTATTAAGCAGTGCCATTGTATTCAAATGATTAAAAAAACCTCATCACATATTGCTGTGTTTCCTTGACTCTTATTTTTAGCTGTATTATATTATTATTACATTAAATCAGCATAAGATCAAATCAGTTAAGTGCAATTTTATTGCAGGATGTTTCTGTACAATTTGTACAGATTAGTCTACAAAGAAGCTTCTGAATCACCAGACCATGGCATATGGCAGATAGAACCTGGGTACCGCCTTGCACCTGTAATATTTCCTTTCTCAATGGCTTTTTAAAATATATATATTATGTCTTAAGATTTATTTTTTTTTGCCAAACTGAAAAGCAGGTCCAAATTTAAATCTTAAATGAATAATTATTTTATTAAGTGTTTTTAAATTTTATTTTATTGTATCCAGCAGAATAATGTGTATTATGTCCTTCTCCCTTTCAATCTCAAAACAACCTATGAGTTAGATTAGCTTGGGTATAAGGCAAGGCTTCAAACTTTTTCAGGCTATAAAACCTGTAATTTAATTTTAAAAATCCCAGGATTCCTGATCCTGAGAGCAACACTTTTGTGATAGAAAATTGGCTGTATTCAACTGAAATTTATTTGGCTCTTAATGTCTCATAGAACCTCATCAAGATCTTGCAGAATCCCAGAATTCTGCAGAACACATTTTCAAAAAACCTGATACCTGAAATTGATGTGAACTAGATCTGACTTATGTTCCTTTCGTTTTTTAAATTATTACTTCTTACATATGATTTACTATGATTTGCATAATATTGCTTATGTCAGAGGAATAAAACAATGGTTATGTTATATGTGGCTATAATAATAAGCCTGCATACCATACCTGGAAAAGCAATCTGTTTTTCCCAAAATGATTTTTTCCTTTTCGGTTGTTGAATTCTACAACATTAGAAGATGCTGCTGCTTAATATTTAAGGTAAGCTATTTGTTCAAAATGAATGCACAATAGAGCCTCTGATTTTAAAATACAAGGAAAATGCATGCATGACATACATGTTCAAAACGAAAGGATGACTACCAACCATACAAGTTTAAGATAGCCATTTTAACTAAATTAGCTAAACTGAGCAGATCATGTCTTAAATATAACTGTGCTGAATGTTATGTTTCATTAAAGTTCAAGTTCAAGTTCATGAGGACCCAGATTGTTGGGGGCAATATGCTGACTCTTTAGCCCGCTTAGAGAGGGCTATAAAGCACTATGAAGCAGTATATAAGTCTAAGTGCTATTGCTGTTAACCCTAAGCTCTCTATATAAAAGCCAAATACCACTCACTCATCATGAAATCTCCAGAACTGTAAAGCCTACAAACTTGAAATTTGGCACATATGTTCCTGTTGGCTTTCTCGCTAAGAAAGGATTTTTCAAAATGACCATCAGATCATTAGTATTTCATACACAGTATTATATTCACACGCTCTGATGCTAAGGAGTTAGACATTCTACTCCCCCTCCCCACCTGAACTCTGTTCCAACTGCCAGTTGCCTTATATTAACACGCCTCTGATGCTAAGGAGATAGACATTCTACTCCCCCTCCCACCTGAACTCTGTTCCAACTGCCAGTTGCCTTATATTAACACGCGCTGATGCTAAGGAGATAGACATTCTACTCCCCCTCCCCACCTGAAAAGAACTCTGTTCCAAATCACACCGAAGATACAATATAAATTTATTAGCATAAAAACAGTAAAATAATATACATTGGACTCATGTCCCAGTTGGGCAGCCTTGACCAAAAGCCTATATGCTTTTGGCTTCTTACATTTCAAAGACAAGGAAAATTGAAAAAGGCACAGGATAAATTGGGTAGGTGACTTTGGGTCAGGCATTTTTTCTCAGCCAACAAACCTCACAGGGTGGCTGCTGTGGGGAAAACAGGAGAAGGGAGGTGTGTTGGATATGTTCTCCACCTTGAGTTATTTCTAAAATGAATAATAAAGGTGGGATACAAATAAATAAAATGATACTGGAATGTTTAATGAACCCATCTTTGTAACATTTATCACTTCTTACTAGATTGGTACGCTGGCTATACTATTTTTGAGATATTGTCTGTAAAAATAAACAATTTGGTTTACTGTCTAATTCTTCCCCCTATTGCTATTCAGAGTCAATTCTGCTTGCTGTAAATATTTTCTTACAATGTATTGGTTGGGGATGAGGGAATCCCATAGGTTTGGTATTGAATGCAGCTCATATGGGTGTGTGGGGGATATTTTATCACATTATGATTGACAATTATATCCTATGGTGCAGTTATTGGGATCAAAGTGAAATAGAGTATTCATATGGCTTATCCATTTTTAAGATACTCAACTCAAAGTAGCATTTTGTTGGCCTCAGAGCCATTGGTGTTTGTGAAAATTAAAAGCCAGATATGGGCACTAGGATAGAGCCTCAAAACAATCAAACTGAATACTATCACAATAAAATTTTCAACTTCATAAAAGTTATTAATTAAACATGACTGGAATTATGATTACCCCTTTTTAATCATTTCTTTAAAATTCTGACATTACATCTACAATTTGGCAGAAAAGAATCAAACCGATACAACTCTATCCAGTTCAGTCATGTAGTCCACAGGCCAATGTAATTCCCTCTCCAATTAAAAACTGTTGCTTGTTTTTTGTAACACAGATAAAAATGCACAAACAACATATTAACCATCAAATATTGTAGAAATGCGTATGAGAGACTAACAAAATAAAATCCAAAATACGAGCACAACAAATTAGGAACTCTGCATTCTTTCTCTTTAACAAGTAATACCTCTATACTAATTGTACACAATCAAGCTAGATATTTATTTTAAAAATATTAACGCTATCTTAAATTTAAGCCACTAAAAATTTAACATTAAAAATGATATCAATTTAAGTAAAAACAGTTATCAACCAAGGTACAGTATTTATGTGCAACCAATCCAGCAGAATGACATTCAATGCTCATGTACTGTTATTTGCCAGATGCATTGAAAGCCTTTGTTGCAAACAATTCTAAGTATGTAACACAAATGAATGGAAGAACTGCCTATTGCTGTAGTTGGATTGCCAAAATTACATAGTATTAAATATTCAACTATCCTATAAATCATCATATGCCAATTTTATTGAGAGTTTGTTGGTATGTTCAGTAATCCTTGATGTAAGAGTAGCTTAGTTGTTAGGAAAGTTAAATTATCTGCTATACTTTTAAGTTTTTCTAAAATAATTATGGTGAACAAATATTTCTTACTCCAAATAAATATAGCCATTAATGCAGATTAAAACTTAGATCTAAGATAGCACAATTATCCCATGCAAGTTCTCTAGAAGTCTGTCATTGTATTATCAGTAATGATGATGTTTAGCAATTGCTTCAAAGTTCAAAGTGGGTCAATTTAAAAAAAATCACAATAATTAAACTGATGTTTGCTTGTAGTTTTTTGTATCCAAGACTTTCTTTCCACACATTGCACAGATACCTGTTAATAAAAAGCACAGGAATACTGAAATTACTTTTGATCATCCAGTATAACTTATTTCTCAGTAACCAAATACACTTTAAAGGGAAGAAACTGGGTTTACGGCAAATATCTCACCTTTTTTGTATGCACATCCTTGGCAGTAATGAGAGCCTGGCTGATGAACTGAACTTTTACAAATCCGGCATATTGCAAATTTGTTTTTGCCGTAAGGATCAAATCTGAGAAGATAAAAAAAGTGAATTAGCTGTTTATCAAAATAATTTTTGTTTACTTTCATATATTTGCAGTAAATGGGGATAGAGGGAGATGGACACAAATCCCCCAAGAAAGTTAGTAAATGACCCAAGAGAGTTTATGTGTTGCAGTTGCATAAAACAATCAAAATGCAATTTGCATTAACATATGCATGATAATTTCCCAGTCTTTTATTTACTTGTCCAGTGCCTTACAAAATTACCATGATCTACCCCAGAGTTTTTAAATTTGGCAACTGTAAGATGGGCTTCAGGGAATTCTGAGAGTTGAAGTCCACACATCTGAAAGTTGCCAAATTTGAAAAACACTGATCTAGCCATTACTCTTCAGGATGTAGTGATATTGGTAAAGAGCTACAGTTGCTAAAAGTACAGTGCAGTGGGGAAAAAACTTCTATGCCAACTCTAGGCTGGAGGAAGTAGGAGTGACTATATGTGGAAATATGAAAAAGACTAAAATTCAGAAGAATGAATAAGCAAGTTAACAATTTTTCCAGCATGTGATTCATTTGGTAAGTGAATAAAGATTTTAATTACCTTGCCTTTTTTGATGTCAATGCCTTGTTTTCATTTAATTTTCTCCCACCACTTTCTATAAATAAAAAGATATAATTTTGAAACCAAATTAAAGTTGAAGCCATTAAAAAGAAAAATGAATGCCTAGAATACCCAGCAATAAACATGAAAATGAGCAGTTGAACAAGACGTTCTGAGAATGCTGAATTTTTTTCCCCAACCACATCTTAATCATGTCCCTTTCAGTTTTTACTACTACCTAACTATTTGTGAGACCTATCTAGTTAAGTAGACTTCTACACATACAATGGGATTTTGCCTTTCTTCTGCATCCATATAAGTCCACAAATCTTTTCTCTTTAAGTTTAAAAAATGTATATTTATTTATTTATTTATTTATTTATTTATTTTATTTCTATACTGCCTTTCTCCCATAGGACTCAAGGTGGTGTACAGTCAAGAAAAATATAGACACACAAACATCATAAAATTGCTAATTAAAATTATTACTTAGTTTGGTCAATTAAATAAAACCCAGAATTAGATAACATTTTAAATGTGAACTGACGGAATTTGGTTTTGATTCCACTGTGTGACATATCACTGGATACATTTTGCATTCATCTTCCTTCCACAATTTAATAATTTCTGTGATTGATTTTTCTCTGCTAATCTCAGTAGTAGATCCCATTCTCTTTAGCAATTCGAACAGCCAAAACAGAAAGTGTACACTGCTAAAGATCAAAACAGAACTGCAGGGGGAGTCACATTCCTTTAAAAACTACTTCAAAACAGGAAAATATTTAACTAAAATCAGGATATTCAACAGATTTCCCTAATCTAATCTGATTAAGAATGTCTGCATCATAGGACATGTAATATTGCTATCAATACTTAAATGTTTGTACAACTACTTAAATCAATAGAAGTCTAATGCAGATCTAAATTATGTACAATTATATTGTGGTGGTTATAGGTATCCCCATTATCCCCATTACACATAAAAGCTGCATTCACTGCCAATCCTCTGAGATCCCCCAATAACGTGCCCTTCAAAACATTCTCAATATTCATGGCTGAGTGGTGACAGGTAGAAAAATCAGACAGGAACATGTGACCTAATAAACCAAATTGTTTCTATTTACCTAGTAGGCAGGGATAATAATAAGTCAAACTGCTGGAATATTGAAATATTCCAACATCATGCTATAATTGTATCAGCCTTTTTCTTTTTCTTTCTTTGACTTGCAATTTCCTGGGCCAAAAATACATAAGCCCTGGTTCTGCTTTTTCTCAGGGCAGTTCAGAAAAGTATCAAAGCATTGTTGGAGGTCCAAGATATACTGTATTATGGTGTGATTTGGTTGCTTTAAAGAAGCCAGATTTTGACCACAACTGGAATACTAAATATCCTACAATGATCCAGATAGAAGTACTGAGCCTTTTAAACTATATAAAGTTCAGTCATGTTACATGTTCAGTTCAACCATATAAAGTTCAGTCATTTTCCAATTGTCAAGTTGTAAAGGTTTTTAGCACCAGTACTTATTTTCAAGAAAGATTAATTTACAAAGGTGCCCATAATGTTCACATGCTAGAAAGAAAACTAGTTTATATATTACACATGGCAGTTCCAGGTTTAGATTGCTTACTGCTTAATAATAATTGGACTATGAAGTTATTTCAGAATTTTATATTTATGAACAAAGGTAAAAGAAATGTGATTATTGAGGTGTAGGATTATAGAGACATTAAGGAACATTCAGCTTGACATGAAGATCTGCAGTTTTTTTCTATTGGCATTTCCTACACACTTTCTTGATCAAGAAATGAGAAATAATCAAAAATAGATAGCAGTTTTTGTGATATTTAAGAATACCTGTTGTGTTTCTTGCACCATCTTTCCAGGTATCAGGTGTAATTACTGTACCAAGTTTTCTTTCACCTATGGAGTAGCATTGAAAAGACAAAATAAAAATTATGATAATATAATAGATTACAACAGCACAGTATGTTCAGGTGATATCATTTCACAGAACTGATGATAATACAAATATTAGTAATACGAAGTACCGCATTCCATGTAACTTATTTTTTCTATAACTATAACTCTAGAAAAATTGGAAACCATTGAAGATGCATGGAGTCTATAAAATCTATCCTCTGACTCTAGAAATTACCCTTTGGGATTTAATGAGTTTTGATGCCAATACATGTTTTTAAAGTTGTGAGGTACTGATCCTTCTAAACACAGTAGGGATTACTTATCAATTACTATAAACAGTGTGTGCGCAAAGCGAAGCGGTTGTTACACCGGTTGAAACCCACCACTGCCCCTGAATTATATCAAATTAAACAGTAATTATCTATTTACTACTAAAACTTTCATGTTTGCATAGTAGGATATCAATTTTTGAAGCAAGATACCACAAACCAGCTACAGTAATTTACAGAATGGATCCAAAATCTGGAACCCATGACTCTCATGGAGTTGAAATTTGGCAAATTTTATAAAACATTTTTAATGTGGTCAACTTCTGATGCTTGGCTGTGCTTTATAATTCGACATAGGCTATTTTCAAGGCAAATACATCTCTGAATATCTCCCTGAATTTGTAAGTATTTTTCCTGTGAAGGTAGTACATTAGAAGCTCTGCCATTGTTGGAAGGCATTGAAGATTCCAGCAAGGCAATATTTCTGAAAAGATGACCCGACAGGTCATGGCTTATCTAGTGTATATGTAAACAACGATAGTTTGGGATCTAGGTTTTTTTATGCAGATCTTATTATATATTAATAACATTAATATTAAAAATTTTGAGAAAAAAATCTTAGTCACTACAGTATAATTATCTAGTTACCATAACTTTTGTGTGGTCAAGTTGTAAGAATGGTAAAACTGTAAACCCTATACACAATTCTTTGGGTTAAGAAAAGGTGTATTGATAATCTTGAATCTTGGTTTTGAAATGAGCTCAGCTGGTATCTTGCAGGTTCAGTTCTCTTTTTCCCATCTGCATTATGAATTCTGTAATAATCCCAAAAGCTGACAAAAAACTATAGCACAGCAAACCTCTCCTACTCTTGTACCTGATCAATACATTCTAGGCATTTTCTTACTAGTGATTTTCAGAACAGCCATCACTGCTAGGATTTACTGAAAACTTTACAGTATTCACTATTTGGGGGATCAAAACATCCAATAAACAGCAACCTCAAGATACTTGCTCCTTTAAATCACTTTTAAGTGCTCTGAGCTCTCCTTCATAGTATACTCATAATAATATGGGTACTGTACACCTGATTCAATACCTCCAAACACAATAATCTGATGCAGGTGTATTCACAGACCCAAATCCCATTAAGCCAGAGGTCTTCAAACTTGCAGCTTTAAGACTTGTGGACTTCAACTCCCAGAATTCTCCATCCAGCTATGCTGAAGTCCACAAATCTTAAAGCTGCCAAGTTTGAAGACCTCTGCATTAAGCGCACTCAGCACAGCATCATAAAGCAGCAGTCCCAAAATTTCTGTTTTAAGTATCGCACAAAGAAATAAACCCTTGGCTCTTTAGAACGGGCAGCCCTCCAATTTTGCCTGTGGCACTGATCTGAGTCTCTGCGTTAGGTAAGTGTCATCGCCGCAATGAACCTGAATTTGGGCAAACCCCGGGAGACAGTAGAGGACAGTCTCTCTCTCTGTGTGTGTGTGTGTGTCGTGCCAATAGGATCTTGAAGAATCGGATACAACCTAGCGACTGAACAACAACAACAACTGATCTGAACACACTAGGTCCCGACTCCTTCAGACATATAACTAGACTTCCTTACCGGGGGGAGGGGGAAGTAATCGTTCCTTGAAGGACAATCGTGGGACCAAAACTAGAAGTGTCGGGCAACCCGAATTTTACTCTCTGAGGAAGAGCCCCCCCCACCCACCCAAAAGAACCCTGCATTTACAGTTGTTAAATGAGCCTTCTCACTTTACACCGCGCGTTCTCCCACCCTCACCCGTCCCTTCAACTCACACTTCTCGCACACCATGGCGAAGGCCTAAAACACCCAACCGAAACCGGCGGGAGAGGTTGGGGGGGGGAGTTGAAACCGTCAGCCAGCCGAGAGAGGCTCGAGCCTCCCCACCACCACAACAACAACAACAACGTTCCACGGCCGAACCTCCGTGAGCCTCCCCATTTCCGTTTCCGGTTTCCTCGTGACGTCCAGGGCGTGAGAGCGCCTTCGCCAACCGGCCGATGGATTGCTGTACGGAAGTAGTCATGACGTAAGAGTCTGCGGGAGGGGGCGGGGGGGGATTGGAGTGCGGCCAGTCGCGCGCTGTAGGAGCGCGGCGGTTGTTTCTAGGTGGGAGTGTGACGTATTTGCGAAACGAAAGCATTTGGGAAACGGCAGGTAAGCTGGATCGGCGCCGTTGCCTCGGAAACCTTGTCTCCTGCCTGTCCTATAGGGGCCACCCTGCCACCGCCTGCCTCGATGTTTTTCCGGATAGCAGCCTCCTAAAAGCCCGCACGCAGGTGAAGGAAGGAAACTGGGAAAGACTTACGTCCTTAGTGGTCTTCTGTTGATTACAAGTCCCTTGCACATTTTCACCCCGTCCTATCGATGGTAGGAAAAATAGCTCATTTAAACTTGGTTTGTTTAAAGAACTTATTGCAAGTATCTTTCGGTGCTCCGTTTTGAATAATTCACCTGTACGGGTAGTCCGCAACTTACGACCGCAGTTGAGCTCAAAATATATGTTGCTAAATGAGACATTTCTTAAGTGAACTTGGCACCGTTTTACGACTTCCCGTGCCACGTTTGTTAAGCGAATCACTGCAGTTGTTAAATTAGTGAATCTGATGTCCCCATGGATGTTGCTCATCAGAAGGTTGCAAAAGGTGATCATGTGTCTACAGGACACTGCAACCGTCGTAAACGTGAGTCAATTGTCAAGCATCCAAATGTAAACCATGTGGCAACAGGGATGCTGCAACAGTCATAAGTGCGAAAAATGGTCATAAGTCACTTTTTTCAGTGCCGTTGTAACTTTGAACGGTCACTAAGCGAACTGTTGTAACTGTTGCTGAGGTCTACCTGTATCTATGGGTGTATCTGTTAGGCTCCATTCTTCAATGGTGCAGGTTGCTTGGAAGGAGATCAGATCTGAACAGTGGTTCAGACAGAGAGATACATTCTTTTTCTGAGGGTAAAAGAGGATGTATCGCTACTTCCTGTCCTCTTCGTTTGGAATTAAGGTGTTTGCAACTAAACCAACCCAGCGCATAGGAGAAGTTGGAAAGACCTGGAGTCATTACTTTGGAGTGGCATCTTCTTAAATGGAAGTATGTTGAAGGCCTTAAAAGCCATTTTTAGCAACTATTTTAAATATTTTTATTTTCTTTCATACAACAAATTATAACTTTGGAGCTTGCTTGTTTTTTCATGTGCCTAAAAGTTACTGTAGGAAAATTTTCTATGCTATAAACAAGGGGTGTCAAACTTGCGTTGTCACGGTGGTGTCATGTGATGTATCGGGACTTTTTTTCTCTTAGCTAAACTGGGTTGGGGCGGGGCCAGCATGTGACGCATCCGACCCACGGATTACACCCCTGCTGTAAACCCTTTTAATTTCTGTAGGAATGCATTATCTTTTATACAAAGGACAATTGCCTTCACTACCAATATTAATATAAATGCCTTAATTTGCTTCTCCACAGGTGGAAATTAAAAATAAGACAACATGAAAGATACAGAAATAAAGAGACTGCTGACTGCTAATGTCATCTGTATCTTTTCTGTTATTGTAACTACTATTGTTCCTTCTTTGTTCTGGAAGAATTTCTCAATTCTGGACACACACTTGATATGGCTATGCATCTGTTCAGCAAGTGTTGGTATTATAAATATAATTGTACATATGGTTTTTAAGCCATATTTATCTACAAGAAGATATTCTCTTGCTCACAAGGTATGTTATGTTTCATAAAATTTAACTGTTGGTATGAGGCATGGATAGCTTTTTTATTTGACATTTTTTGATTCTCAATAATGTTCTATTCCAATGCTACATGGAAGATCACGTGAAAGTAAAATTGAATGAATGGTTGCATGCTTTCAGCTCTTTAGGAACTTTATGGTTGCAGTCACAATAAAACTCAAAACTCCACGTCTTCAGCATTATTCCATACCATTTCTCTCTCAACTAAAACTCTAAAATATTCTGTAAGTAATTAAATGCTCTCTTAATATTTCTGCTTTAAGGAAGCTGATTTTCCCCCCTTTGAATAATGAGATATACCTTGCTATTATTTGAGTATATTTTTCAGTATTTTGACTATAGGACAATATTTGAGTTGTTGTGATATAATCTTATAAAACTTTGAATTTTATAAAAGTCCATGTTAGATTGCATTTAAAGTTTTAAAAGAATCCTATCATAATCAAGCAAAATTGCATATCAAATAAAACTGCATTCTAGTGTTAAAAGGACTCTAGTCATATTTCCCAAAGAATGGCAACAAACCTCAACAGGTTAGGTAGTTTTCCTGGCATTTTCTGGGAGCTATGATAGTGCACTCTTATGGGAAATTTTCCAAGACCATGTGTGTAACCTTGTCCATTGTATAGCTTGTGTATAGATTTATCTTGCGACAGTGTAGTAATCAGAATATTGTTGTGGAGCTTACAAAAAACCCCCCCAGAATTAAACATAAGAGCTTTCTAGAAGTTATGATGTATTATTATGATACAGAAGAACTGTAATAAAACTGCTTAGGACACTGACTGATATTGTGAAATTTGCTTGCAAAAGTATCCTTAGCTTGTAAGTCTGTTTCAGACATATTGAATCAGCTGTGAAACTACAATACAATATCCCCTATAGGAGCATCTTCCTAACTTTGAGAGTATCACAATATTCAATATGGTGTAAAACTAATTCAGATGATAATATTTAAATTTTACCACTTTCAACAAGAGATTGAACCACATTATTAAACCTCTGCATGAAAATAAATGTGACTTAAAAGGATTTCAGTCTGGGTATTTTGTTTCAGTTGAACAAGTTTAAACAAGCATTTTACTTTATATTGAAAGGATTTATAGCCCAACAATGAGCACTGCGCTATGCAACTCAGCCTTGTTTTAAAAGCCTTGCTAGGAATCAGATTGGACTTCTAGCAAGCGATATATTTTCCTGCCTAGGAGGCTGCAGGATGGGGATGGGAGAGTCAGGCAGAAAGGGAGTAGAGGATACAGTAGTCATTCTCAGTTTTGGTTCTGCTATCAAGAGACTGTAAAAACCCAAATATTAGTTCAGTGTTAATGATCTAGAAAAGGTTTACAAGGGTTTTAATTTAATCTAAGTATAACTCATCATGTACAGTACTTTATGGTACAAGAGGTTGTCTTCTATAAAAAAAGTATGCATATTGATGGCATTATATTCATTCTCTTTAAAAGGCAACAAGATTTGTAAAATGCTGTGTATACTTCTTCATATCTTGTATCCTCTTCCATGGAATTATTGTTCTTTATGGAGCACCGTTACTAGAGTAAGTATGTCTCTTACAATTCCACCTGGTAAATCATAAAGTTAAATTTTAGGAAATTGAACTATGAATCAGTCTGGATTTACAGTGTCCCACATAAGACCGTCTAGTGGTAAAAGGTAATGTGGATTTGCTTTTAGATATGTAGTTCTGGAATAATATTAAATATTAATGATGAAGTAAAAATGATATGACCCATCTGTTTAGTGAACTTAGAGTTGATCTTAAAAAAAAAGTCAATGACAATTTTGTTTCCCTAGTCTCAAGAATAAATAAAGATGATAGTTCATTGCTGAAGTAAAGAGGGCAATAATTTAAGAAAGAATGTGCAGTCAAAGTTAGACAAGATAATGAGAAAGAGGATAAATTATGGATCAGATGACATTTAGTAAAATTACCATGGATCTCAATTTTTTTTTTTTAATTTGATTTATATGCCGCCCTTCTCCGGAGACTCAGGGCAGCTTACAATGCGTTAAGCAATAGCCTTCATTCTTTTGTATATTTTATACAAAGTCAGCTTATTGCCCCCACAAACTGGGTCCTCATTTCACCTACCTTAGAAAGGATGGAAGGCTGAGTCAACCTTGAGCCTTGGAGAGATTTGAACCAGCAGAAATTGCAGGCAGCTGTGTTAATAACAGGGTGCACTAAACCACTGTACTATCAAGGCTCTTATAGCAGCAGCCAATCAATTCTGGTCCAAATAGGTTGACCATACAGGCATGTGGGACAAGGAACTGATGGACTAGAAAAAGAGAGTGATTGGTTCAAAGTCATCCAACTATTTTTCATGTCTAAGGTGAAACTAAACTCAGTTTCCTGATTTCTAGCCTGGTCCTTAATCACTGAAAACTGTGTACTATAGTAAAAAAACAACAACAATATTGAACTGTTTTAAATAAGAAAAAAATCAGGATCGTGGGGTGATTTTTTTTCATACATGATTATCCAAATGTCAGCATTACAGCAAAGATGATAATTTTTGATGTGTTCTGAGGCAAAATATTCCAAAGGTGTTCCTTCTTCAAATCATTACTGATGATCACAGTATTATAGCAAAGTAATAAAATGAGAAAAACGCTTTTGAGATGTGTGACAATCACCATGTGGAAGTTTTGAGTTTCAGAATTGCAAAAACTCAATTTTTATATAAGAGGTATAAACTGCTTCAGAATCAGACACTCTTTTTGTTTGGATGTCACATTAAACATTAATCACACATGCCCCAGATTATGAATTCAGAAGGAGATCAGAGGCATTTGCTCTTATTTTGAATTCATTATAGCCTGCTATGATATTCAAATTTGGTAAACATGGATAAATCTCTATTGAGATTTGTTTAGATCTTCATTTTAGCAATACACAACTTTTTCTAGGCCAAATGCCACAGTTGAATTAAGTAGGATGTTAGGGACTACTTTCTAAAAACTAAAAGATAAGGTAGAATAAACCCCAAGTTTGATTTTAATTAACTTCTTTAATAATTAAACAATTTCCCTATAAAGCTGTTTATGTACATTAAAATGTTATTTCTAAAGCATGTCCTTCATTCACAAGATCAAATTATGAGTCAATAACACCTCAATTTTTTCTGTTGTCAACAGAGAAAATATGTCAATCTTTTCAAATCCATTCACAGTTCAGTAAATGTGAATTAAGATTTTTTGATGAATCTATTTTAATTTTACATCCACTAAAACAAATTTTACATCTTAAAATATTATTAGATGTTCCAGTTCTTTAATCTGCAAACCATGTTAATGCCCTTAACATGAACTTTAAAAATATTATCTCATTTTTAGTATAAAAATTGTATTTCAAACATCGAATCCATCAAGTATATATATTTTTATATCTTTCATTTCTCAGACATAGCCAAAACATCTGGTCCAGATTGACAGGTTAAAATATGCTTGAGTTGATAGTTATCACTCTTGTGAATTAGGGAGAAGTCAAGAAAAATGTTTAATCATTGCAAAGTAATTGTATTCCAGAGTCTTCCCACAGCTTCCAACAGAACATTTTGCCTCTAATTGACATTTAATTTTAATTAGAATTTAATCTAGTTAATATACTACCCAGTCATTTTTCATAATTTTCCAACCCCACTTCTCTCATTATGTTTTAAGTTATCATTAGGTACAAATTTTAGAAATGTCTGGAGCAATCCTGTTTTCTCAGAGCTCTTAGGCTATAAAGGCTTTCATTTATGCATCTGGCTGATTTCAGAAAAGCAGAATGAATATTAATTACTGTTTAAGCATAATAGTATGTTGTGATTAACTGAACTTCAAAGCAAAGTTGAAGTCTTTTGATAACCTTTCCAGAGGAAGTAAATGAGTATGCAAACCCACAGAAGGACTAGGATCATTCGTCTATGGAGATACTCAGTCATCCAGGTCATTGTTGTCCCAAAGGTGCTTTTTCAGGAGGCAATTGGACTTTCTTGTTTTTTCTTTTTTCTTTTGAAGACATTTTGCTTCTCATCCAAGAAGTTTCTTCAGCTCTGACTGGATGGTGGGGAATGGGAGGATTTATACTCCTTGCAGACAGCTGGTCATTTTCATTCTTTTAGAGAGTCATTGAGGCCACTTGGAGGTTTATCTGTGTCCTCAGGGTCACCTGAGTAGTGCAGATTGGTATGGAGCCGCCTTGGCTGCAGGATGTTTTTTTTGTCCTGGGTCCCTTCAGACTGAAGTGCAAATGGTTCCTGTAGTTTGCAATTTTTCTGGAAATCAGTTCATACTCCCACACCATTCGAACGGTGTTCATCCCAAAGCGCATAGCTAAAAGTCTATGGAGATTCTCAGTCATCCCTGTCATTGTTGTCCCAATGGCTTCACGCCCATCTGCACTACTCAGGGGTCCCTGAGGACACAGATAAACCTCCAAGTGGCCTTAACAACTCTTTAAAACAATGCAAATGACCAACTGTCTGCAAGGAATATAAATCCTTCCATTCCCCACCATCCAGTCAGAGCTGAAGAAGCTTCTTGGATGAGAAGCGAAATGTCATCAAAAGCAAAGGAAGAAAGTCCAGTTGCCTCCTGAAAAAAACACCTTAGGGATGGCTAGGTTCATTCCTACTGCAACCACTGTTCACATGATGTCTGAACACAAAAGCTTTACAGTTTATTGTTTTTACCTTTTCAATGTGTTTATCAAGATAGGCCTTTAAAATAGCTTCACTTTTTTTTCCAGATCAGTCTGGGAGACCTTCTTATTTGCAGTTCTTTTATCCACCTTTACAACTTTGCCCTGCTTATGTTTGCTGGGACCAAACTTTCAAATATGGCTGAGAGTGTTCAGTAAAAATGGGTAAGTTGCATGCGGTTGGAATTTGCAATGGCATTAGTGCAGTTGAGGTTAGGCATTTCTTTAATAGTTTAATCATAGTGAAATAGTGGCCATATTCTTATCTGAGACAAGGCATACAAAGTTGCTACATTCTGGCTTAGCAGATCCAAGTAATAATCTAATGCAGAACTGCTCAATGGCTCCTTCTTCTGCCACCAGAAGTACTTACAATTGTGATTTCTCTTCTCCATCATTTATTTGAAGTAGAATCCGTACCTTTTTAAAAAAAATCTTAACAAGCCAGAGTTTATTGCTGGGTTCCAGTTCTGAACAGTTAGGTTCACATGTCATACTATATAGATACGGTACTTCTCTGATTTGTGTAAGTAGTTCTACCAATAGGAGGCACCATACTGCAGAATTCAGCTTAGTGTGGTGTTTGAATTAGGCTTTAGCATTCAAACCCTAAATTGTGATGCAAGAACAAATCTGCATCATAATTTTGGATATGAAGCTGGCTTCTTATTTACTAATCACATGTAAGATTAACTGATTAATATGTCCAATTGCATGGTCATACTAGATAGCTGGAGTCTAGAAGTCGAGGGTTTCTGCACCATTTCTTCATAATGCTAAACATACTTATTCAAGACACTGGCTCATAATAAAACAGTCTAAATAGGTTTATATTATGCTAGTTAATTCTAGTATGTACTCATTGTTTATTTAATATGTTTTGCTTTACTTGTAAAAAAAAATCTACTCTTTGAAAAAATGTTCCTAAGAGTTTGGGTTTGTATCTTGCATCCTTTCAATAACAACTGTCTTTGGGAATGAAATGATTTTAATAATTTTTTACATATTTTGTAAATCTCCTGTTAAATATAAAGATGCAAAGCTAGGTATATGCTGAAGTATCTCAAAAGCTGCTCTGTTCTTAGCAACTTGACATTTTGTTGAAAAGGTCAGATCTTGATGTAGAAACAATTTGGTTAAATGAGCCTTGAAATTTAGCTTGTTGGATCTTCTCTAATAATGTCTTTCATGTGCTGAACCCATTTATTTTAAAGGCAGCCCATTGTTCCTCCCAATTCACCTGTTTAAAATTGAAAGATTTCCTTATAAGTTTATACTCTTCCTTGAGTAGATGCCTCTGATAGCTATGCCTTCCACTTACCCAGCTAGATTGGAGGTGCTATGCAGGTAGCTCTTGAGTTATGATGTCACGTGTCTGCATCATTTAGCGACAGCAATCCATTTGTGTGTCTGCCATTTTCAGGACATGTTACTGTATACTGTAAAGTGGCACTGCAGGTTTTTTTAGTGACTTTTCATCCAGAAGGCATTCAGTCATGTCAACTGTACAAGACTTAATTAGTCTCAGTTATTGTGTATGCTTCTCCAGCCAATGCAAAATAATAACTTACCCTATAAAATGCTTCAGTGAGTTTTTCATTTCTGGTTTGAAAAGCTGTAAAAAAAAACAATTGTTGGCTGAAAAGCTCATCACATCTATTTTTAAAATATTTGATTTTTTTTGTCTTTAACTCTGAAAGTTTGGACTGAAATGATACTATTTAACTGGCACTGTAATACTAAAAAGAAATGTTATGTTGCATAACAATGAATTGTTAGCATCTTTACAGCTCAGGGAGCAATAATTTTTATCATATTTTTGTTTCTCATTTGCATTTCCCCCAGTTTCTGCGAAATAGATTGCTTCGTTCCATGAGTCAGAGAACTCTGTGATATGTCAGTTTCATTTTTTTCAGCATCTTTAGACATAAATGATGCGGATGTGGGTTGAGAAAGCAAGTTGTATAATCTCTTTGGTTTAAGCCAAGTCCATCCTTAAGTATAAGAACAATATAGATGCATTGTATAAAATAATATGAAATTCTAAAACAATATCAACTTGAAATAAAATGTAAATATCTAGATTTTTTAAAAAAAATATTGCAAATAGGACAACAAAGTGTACTTCTTGTATTTCTGAATAGGCACAGGAAAGCTTTGGGATTTCAAAGTAACATTGATTGGATGATAATGATCTTACGAAGATTATAGTAGGTATAACCAAAGACATCTAGTAAAAGCACAATAAAAGTACTAAGAGGAACTAAATTAATTTCTGAAAACACATGTTTTTCTTTAAACCTGTAGCTTAGAAGAATTTAAAAATACAAGATTACACAAGCACACATTCCATTAGCCATCACATGATGGCATGAAATGTATGTAGCCTCTCGAAAAGTCCCCTGTACATTTGTCAGAGAATGATAGTGAAAAAGACAAATACATTTTATTAGGCAAATAGTTTTGGCTTTATGAATCTTCTGAAAGGTCTTGGGTTCCAGGGGTCTGGAGACCACATTTTGAGAACTACTCCTGTAAAACATCAAACAGTTAAGTGTCAAAGCATCTCTTCTGTATTAACTAAGTGCCATCATGATAGTTTTATTTATCACATACACAAATTGAATTAAAACCACCTGCAGAGTGTTTAAGGACAAAATTATTGGTGCCTGACTCAGTCATCTCAAAGGTGCTTTTTCAAGAGGCAACTGGACTTTCTTGCTTTTCTTTGAAGGCATTTCACTTCTCATCCAAAAAGTTTCTTCTGCTCTGAAGTCCTTGTATTTTATATGTATTTGGTCATTTAATTTCTGAAAGTGAATAAACAAAATATCTAGATCCGTTCCAGTCGGGCTTCAGGCCCGGGTACAGCACGGAAACGGCATTGGTCGCGTTGGTTGATGATCTCTGGAGGGCTCGGGACAGGGGCTGTTCCTCTGTCCTGGTCCTGTTAGACCTCTCAGCGGCTTTTGATACCATCGACCATGGTATCATGCTGCACCGGCTGGAAGGGTTGGGGGTGGGAGGCACCGTGTTACGGTGGTTCTCCTCCTTTCTCTCTGACCGGTCGCAGTCTGTGTTGACAGGGGGGCAGAGATCGACCCCGAGGCCCCTTATATGTGGGGTGCCGCAGGGATCGGTTCTCTCGCCCCTTCTGTTCAACATTTATGTAAAGCCGCTGGGCGAGATCATCCGTGGTTTCGGGGTGAAGTACCATCTGTACGCTGACGACACCCAGCTGTACATCTCCACCCCGGACCACCCCAACGATGCCCTTGAAGTGATGTCCCAGTGCCTGGAGGCCGTACGGATCTGGATGGGGAGAAACGGGCTCAGGCTCAACCCATCCAAGACCGAGTGGCTGTGGTTTCCGACGTCCCGATATAGTCAGCTGGCGCCATTGCTGGCTATTGGGGGCGAATCATTGGCCCCCACGGAAAGGGCTCGTACCTTGGGCGTCCTCCTGGACTCACGGCTGTCTTTAGAAGAGCACTTGACGGCCGTGACCGGGAGGATTTTTCATCAGGTTCGCCTGATTCGCCAGTTGCGTCCCTTTCTAGATCGGGACTCGTTACGCACAGTCACTCATGCCCTCGTCACCTCTTGTCTGGACTATTGTAACGCTCTCTACATGGGGCTCCCCTTGAGGTGCACCCGGAGGCTCCAACTGGCGCAGAGTGCGGCCGCGCGGGTGGTTATGGGAGCAACATGGAGCTCCCATGTAACACCTCTCCTGCGCGAGCTGCACTGGCTCCCGGTGGTCTTCCGGGTGCGCTTCAAGGTTCTGGTTACCACCTTTAAAGCGCTCCATGGCTTAGGACCTGGTTACTTACGGGACCGCCTACTACCATTAACAGCCTCCCACCGATCAGTACGCTCCCACAGAGAGGGGCTCCTCCAGGTGCCGTCGGCCAAACAATGTCGGCTGTCGGCCCCTAGGGGGAGAGCCTTCTCTGTGGGGGCACCGACGATCTGGAATGAGCTCCCCCCAGAGATACGGAGGATTCCGGATCTGCGCACCTTCCGCCGCGAGTTGAAGACGTTTTTATTTCATCAATCTGGCCTCGCCTAAATCTTCTCCCTTTTAAGTGTAAATTTTAAATTTTTAAATTCTTAATGTATTTTAAAAAATGGGTATCTTAAATTATGGGTACTAATTCAGCCAAATTTATTTAATTCATTTTATTTGATTTTAAATTTTGTATATCTATGTGTTTTATTTTATGGCTGTGCACCGCCCTGAGTCCTTCGGGAGTAGGGCGGTATAGAAATTCAATAAACAAAACAAAAAAAACAAAACAACAAACAAAAGTTCATAAGCAAAACAAAAGTGAAAAACAATCTATATAATCATTTCAATGAAAAGAGTTTAAAAAATAATAATGCTTTGAAACTTCTTGGAACACTAGTAGACATGATCTCCAGATTTTTGGAGCTGGGAGTTCCACTGCTTTGGCATTGCAGCAAGACAGGGTCCTTAATATATTCATTCATGAGCACCTCAATAGAAGATGTGCACAAGAGTCTTTCTAGCTAATTGAAGAGAAAGAGGGCCTTATTCATCATGGGCAGATAGCATCATTTTATATTAATATAGAGAAGAGCGTACTCAATACTTGTACATGTGTATTTTGTAATGCCTGTGCTGGCTCCAGAAACTCAGCTTATATATGGTACGGATTGCTTCTCCTCTTTTATGCTGGAGGCATAGAATTACCAAAGTTTCTTCCTGCCCACCCAATATGTTTTCCTAACCAGCAATTTTCTCTGGAGGGTGTGGAATGAAACTCAACCAATTTTAATTAAAACCCAATGGCTGCTGTTAAATAAGCAGAAATCCCCTCAGACTTGAGTAGGGAGACATCTGGCTTCACTTGCAGAATGCAACAGCTCTGTTGCTTTTTCACATAAGTGCTATTCACAGTTTCCATAACCATCTGACAAGAATATAGATTTCACCTGTGTAAAAAGTTAGTGATTTTAATTGAATTATTTCTCAGTTGTGAATTTAAATTCTCAGTTTATGAGCCTTTTGTTCCCAGCTGAACATAATTGCCAACATAATGAAGAAATTGCAATTGCAGTATATTCCAAATCTAAAATTAATTAGTGAATCTTGCTATGCATGTGGAATCCCTAAATTGCATCAATGCCTCTGAGGATGGGATTCTTGTCCAGTTGACAGATTCTGTTCCAGTAGTTTTGCTGAACAGAATATGTGTTCCAGTATTTATGATGCAGCATTTTTGCAATGTGATTTTCAACAAAGGTACATTTTTTACTATATTTTTTTTCTCAGAATTATAAAAGATGAATATAAAATTTGGACTCATCTTGTGATTTATTTTGTGTGCTATCAAGTCAACGTTGACTTTTAGCGACCAGATATATTTTCTCCATTTGTCAATCATTATATATGTCCTATTCATGTAGTTTTCTTGGTTAAAATACAAGAATGACTTTTTATTGCCTTCTCCAATGCAGTATGAATTGATGTCTTTGTTCTGATGATCCTCCACCTCCAGCATCTTCCTATGTGGTTGACCTGGTAACTTGGTTATGTTTAGTGTTGCTGCTTTAATCTCAGCTCATTTTTAAAAAAAATTGTTTTGCTCTTATGTTTTTAATCTCGTTTTTATTCCCTGTTAATCAACCAGAGTAAAATGTTTGAAATGAGCAGCCATATGAAATGAATGGATGAACAAATGAAGGAACAAATTAATTAATAAACAAATTAATAAATAATAAATCTTTGCTACCCCAAATAAGTATCTGTTTGCTTTAGCTCCGCAGTTAGAATGACCTTCACGCCTTGAGTGTCCCTGCTGGCAATATATACTCTTGGCATACATTCCTGACTTCCTTTCCTCATCCCCCACAAGAACACCATCACAATGAGGCAGTACAGTTGGGGGCAGGGTGTTGTCTGGTTTATGGCTTGGTGCATTGTACAAACTCAAGTAAAAGTTGTTTTTATTCAGTTAACCATGCCATAGTTATTGAGCCGACATAGCCATAAAGCTAACCAAAATTTTACCATTCAAGGCAATTCTGGAAGAATTTTCTATAAAGTAGTACAAGCATTACATCAAACCAAGATTTAGTGTATGGCTCATATATTGTCTCTTTTTCCCCAAGTGACAGTTCCTTCCCTTTTTTCCTGCCTATGCACTTGAACAAAATGCCAGACTTGCCTTAGAGCTTGCCTTAAGCCAAGAAGAAAGAAGATGGGAACAGGCAGGAGCCACAGAAGGATTATTTTAATAATCAGCAATGTAGAAGTACTTTAGCAATAAAATGATATGCTTCTTAACTGCATCATACAATTTCTTTCCTACAGGAGGATGCAATAAAACAGCAGGTGCATGAAGAAATTTTTTATTTAAAAAAAAATCAAAATCTTTGACCATTTTATCCTTTCTTAGAAAATAATGAGCCGCATTGGATATATAGAAAATATTATTTAAAGAGTTATGTTTTCAGTATGGGAAAAAATCATATTTAAATTTCATAACTACCACTTGTCTCCCTTGCTAGCACTTTCATTATTTTATTATCAGCATAGAATTAAATTGATTCAGAGTTAGTAGGAAAAAAGGCATATTGCAGAAATTATCCTAATTGAGGGAGATGCAAAGTTTTCATGCTGCGGGAGGAAAAAACAATTTCCAAAATCAGCAGAAATAAAAGAACTGCTTTATATAGAAACTTTGCCAGGGTGGTCGTTTATTTTGTGACAGATAGTTAATGAATTTTACAGTGTCACAAGTTCTTAAATATACTATATTTATTATAAGGATCATTAAAAAGTAAAACTATTTTTTGAAATTATCATCAGCAAAACAAATTATAGTTCAATCTAGAAGCATATGAAGACTTAATGTTTTCCATGAAGTCCATATTTTGGACTTCATGGAAAACATAACTTATAAATTAATATGACTAGAGAAAAAAATAAAAGGAGTTTATTATTATTTTTAGCAGATTATCCTGACTGATGAATCCATCTAAAAAGCATCCCATTAGAGACTGGTGGTGATAGAATATTAAAATCTAATTTTGAAGTTCAGTAATAGTAATACAGTCCTGCATATGGTGAGTAAACAAATCAAGCAATAGAGAACACACAGTTTTAAAGATTAACCTTCTTTCACTTTTATAGGGCTATGTCCATCTGGGATAACAATCTCCAGATTACCACAATATGCAGTGTGGTGGGAGCCTGGCTTGGAGCATTTCCTATTCCATTGGATTGGGACCGTCCATGGCAGGTTGGTCGCTCTATTTTATATAAATTACATAAAACTGATCAGACCAGCTCCATCCAGTCCTGTATTTAGTTTATAATTATCTGGCTAACTCCCTTATAAAAGCTTATAAGCAAAGTACTAAGGGTCTTTTCTATTTTGCCTTCCAGCATTTCCTGTTCATAGACTGGTGATCTTTAAGATTTAATTGTAATTCCATTGTAAAGACTGTTGAAAGCAACATGGTAGAATATTTTCTCTAACAAGCTGGAAGTGGATGAAGCTACTTCCTCAATGTGAGTTACATGGTTGTCAGAATAGTGCAAGCAAGGCCTTGCTGCTTGCTAATGTAGTTAATGACATTTCTCAAGTTCAAGCAGTAGCCAGTCAGCATCCAGCCCATTAATGTCATGGAGGCCCTACACCTCTTATGCCATCTGAGAACGTGGCCTGTGGTGTGCTGCTACCTTCCATTAAAAGCACTTAACAAAATGCATTTGAAATGGCTATTGGCTTCAGATTGATCTTTGAAACAGCCTTAGCTGAGCCACTCTGTGCCGAAAACATGTTTTGTAGTTTTCCAACAAGCCCTTAAGCATTTTGCTGCTTGTAGAAAAAATGAGAAGCTGGCAGGATTGCAGGACAACTGTACATTCATCTGCCAACATTATTGTTGGGGAAGGGAGGAGAGAATAAAGTGATCTGCTAATAATGTAAAGTGGATTAAACTGTTCTCAAAGCAGGTATACCCACAACCAGAGGATAAGGGTATTTGGCATTAAGCATTCTGAATCTTGCTAAATTGAACAAAATGTCTGATGTAAATGAATGTAGTCCAGTTTTAATTACTATTCTTGTACCTTTTTTGCCTCATATTAAATGCAAATGAACTTGATATATATTTCAGAAATAATAATGGAAATTTGGGATATTGGTTACTCCCCCTTTTAAAAAAAGCATATTATCTAATTATATTCTCACATATTTTTGCACTAGATAGAACTATCATAAATGAGATATATCAAAATATAAATCAGATTGAGGACAAACCCTCCCAAACCCAAGATATTACAGGGGCACACTAGTGTTCAATTTCCAAACATGCCATGGCTACAGGAGGGAGGGGAGAATCCCAAGAAACAGGATGAGGTAGAGTTAGTTCCCCTTAAGGGGCAAGGCTGCTTCCCTCCTCCATTTTCAGAGGAAGACTTTAAGAGCTGCCTTCACCATCTTTGTGTACCAGAAGCTCAGAGCTAATCTCCCATCAGCAGAATGCTTGATGGGAAGAGGACTCTGTTGAGCAAGGGGTCTTTGAACAGACTTATTGGGATATATCACTTTTCATGTATTAGAGCTAAATTTATGGATGAAACAGTTTTTAGTTCATTAAATCTACATTAATGATACCTTAAGATGCCTCTAGGTTCCTGGAAGTTTTAGAAAGCATCCTGTCAGCAATATTTTGTTTTACCATTTCTCCTTTCAGAAGCTATTAGAAATGGCTAGGCACATAACAACAAATGTAATTATAGGTGTGGTACAAATTGGCAGAGCTTTCAAATTCACTCCCAGGCTTTATTTTATCACCCTCTTAATAAGGGTCATTGAATAAAAGTGTGTGTGTGTGTGTGTTCGTGCATATATTAATGTATAATAGTGGCGAATATCTGTAACTCGGGTGTAGGATGAGGGTGAAGGTTTGTTCTCCTGAGCTTGTGGGTTGGTTTCTGAACGTTTGGTTACCAGGCTAGGTAACATCTTCAGCGGAGTTCAGGGGATAAACTAAACTCCACTGAAGATGTTACCTAGCCTGGTAACCAAACATTCGGAAACCAACCCACAAGCTCAGAGAACAAACCTTCACTCTCGTATATTAATGTTGCAAAAGCAACTTATAAATGAGCCTTTACCTTAAAACTGTAAATGTATCAAGATGAATCACCAGGATTGTGCTGGAGAAACAAGGCTCAAGAAATAATCAGCTGGATCATTTATATTGTTTTAAGAATAAATGTTTGGGGAAAAAAAGAGAATTGACTTATAGAAAAAGGAATAATTTTACAAACGAAAGAAAGTCTAGCATTGCAACAGCAAATCCTGTGCAGAAACTTGCAAGACCTATACAGAGGAGTTCACGTACTTCATGCTTCCTCTTGGCATTGGTTATAAGGCGAAATGATCCTCTTGATAATGCACTTTTGAGAGCTTCTGAAGCCTTGAAAGCTGCAGCTCCTGGATTATATAATAATATGTTTATATCCAAGTAACCCTTTTCTAGTTTTTTAGATTTGCCTTAAGCTGCTGCAAATTAATCTGTTACATTTTTTTGTCTCCGTTTATTTCGAGATCATACCTCCAGTCCTCAAACTATTTCTGCAATATCCATTAGAGTAGTGTAGTCAACTCTGTAGCTCTTACAATGCCTCTAACATGTTTAATAAAGAAAATGTGTGGGAGAATGGAAAAATGATGACTGCACAGTATGAGAAGCAGAAGAATGCTTACAGAGGGAGTGAGTTATTTTTGTATTCCTAGTTTGGAAAATGATTTTTGTAGCAGAGGGATTTGGCATGATAGAGTTTTAAAAAAATTAGAGTTGGAATAACAACTTTTGGAGTTAATCCCAAATGAATTCCCATGCAGTTTGTCTGTACTGATAGTGCTAACCTCTGTAAATCAGTACATGTTTAGGGCAGCCTTGTATCTAAGTAATAGAAAATGAACCAAAGGATACTATGCATCCCTTTTTTTCCATGACCATATTCTCTTTCCTGACCTAATTGGGGGAAAAAAATACCCTGAGCCAAAATCGGCTCATTTTCAATTTAGCTAAGCTTTGGTCCCCAAAGAATCCTGGTTATGCAAGGAACAAGAAACAGCCTTTAGCAGTATTAATCTCATTAAATTTGATTGTGTGAACCTATTTGCCTTGTCTCCTTTCTGAGTTTTGTCGGGAAATCTGGTCTGTACCTTTATGATAGACTTCGGAGAAGGAAGATGTAATCAAGGTGATAGCTAGGAACATAGCAAACCAATTACATTTTTAATAGTAGTTGATCAGATTCAAATATGTTGGAGATAAGGGGAATGAATGATACAGGTTTTGCATACAAAGACTAAAAACACCATTGCCTAGATTATTTTTTATTATTGTTTAATGTCTGGTTAATTCCTGAAGAGATTGAATTTATTTTGAAAGAAAATGTCCATTAGAAATTCAGCCTTCACCAGACCAAATAATGCAGTATGTTAGTACTGAAATATACACTATTTAACATTCTGCAGAAAATATGCAATGCCATGTTACTGAACATGAATAAGCAAATCTTTGGTTTGAAAAAGCAGGCATGACAAATTGAAATGGTGACCTTTCTCAGGCTGTAAATACAAGGCTGAAGCAAGGTCAGTAAGAGTCCCTAAGGCACCTTATGAACATATTATTATTTTGACTGCTCTTCTGAAGACCTCCAAATAATGCTCGATATATAAAACACTAAATGCACATTTAGTGATATGAAGATTAAGCACAAAAGATCAAATCAAAACAGATTACAAACAACAAAGGAGCTGGTTTGATTCATTCCAGGTAGTCCTTGACTTACCACCATTGGTTTAGCAACTGTTCAAAGTTACAAGCGCTGAAAAAAATGACTTACAACCAATCCTCACACTTATGACTATTGCAGCATCCCAAAAGTCATATGATTGTGATTTGGGCATTTGGCAACCGGTATGTATTTACAATGGTTGCAGTGGTCCGGAGTCATGCGATGATAATTTGTGACCTTCCCAGTTAGCTTCCAACAAGCAAAGTCAATACGGAAGTTGGCAGGGAAGGTTACAAATTGTGATACCTTGCTTAACAACCGTGGCAAAAAAAAAAAAAAAAGTTGCAAAATTGAGTGCAGTCGCTATTTACTTAACAACTATACCACTTAATGAGGAATTTCCTTGTCCCAATTGTGGTTGTAAATTGAGGACTACCTGCTGAATATGATGGAAAATCTAACAGCTAGGAGAACGTATGGAATAAGTTGACTCTTTTTTCTGCCTGTCTTTTCAAAACTGAAATAGCTTTCATCAACCTGGAGCCTCCCCAGGTAGAATAGGATGATATCTCAAACGTCTGTCAATTATGTTTCCAAAACAACAGTAAGGAAAGATATTCTAGAATTTGTTGGTATGCGTACATATTGCAAAAGCTGGAGACAGGAGCTAAATGCCACCCACACACAGACTGTTTTGCATTATATTACCTGGATTACATTTCATTTGTAGTCCAGGAGATGAATTAAAAAAAAGATGAAGGACAAAGGATTGTAAATTGTGCCTTTTATAAGGGTTAGGGAAATAAAGTGTGTACCTGGACATTAACATAGCAAAAGGTAAAGATGGCCTGTACCTACAGCATTCTACAAAAGAGGAGAGATAAATTGCAACATAGTGTTTTTCTTCATTTAAATTAAAAGATGATCTCTAGTGTGCTATTTGGGCAAACAGGCTTTGGAACTAAAGCCAATTCATTAATCAAATAATTTAATCTTTAATTTTCCCTAAATGTTTAAAAGTCTTTATCAAAATAAACTATAGGTTAAGAAAGTTAAAGTTCATGGATTTCGATAGCAGTTCTCTGGTTTGTCTAACTGGGCATTGCCTTAAACATATATAAAATAAATTCTAGTAAATAGTTGTCTGTATGAACTCCCAAACAGGTAGATCAGTTTTTAAGCTTGGATGCACAATTCTTTGGATGTAGTTCATTGCAAGAGCCAAATTCCTAATCATAATGGGTGAGAACCATGAGAGTTGTTGTCCTGAGAGATGTAATCATAGGGTATTACATGAAAATAGCTGAAAGAAGTCTACAGGTCAGCCCACTGATGTACTAAGGGGTCCCACTGACATCGCAATGATTGTTGAAAATATCTGTGCATACTTTTAATACCATAGAAATAGTATGGGTCACTGTATATCATCCATATTAAGAACACACAGTGATAACTTTTAGATTGGAGCAGATAACTATGATTGCTGCAATGTTATATCTGCAACACTAAAAGTGAGAGCAAGACATTCCCAGTTCTTAAAAGCCAGATTATTTACACTACGTGCAATGGTCATGCATGCACAAAGTTGGGTTTTGGCCACAAGTTCATCGTTCTAAGAACCATTTTAGAGTAGCTATCTTAGAGCAGAATGTGAATCATGCCAAGGAATGGCATTGTGCCAGCAGTTTGCATTCATAGGTTAAGAGACCCTTTGCTAAGAGACTCAGCAAATTCAGCAGAGTGGAAATAAATGTAGGCTTGGTTAAGCAAGAGGTAGCCCTGTTCACACAGGGTGTGTGTGTGTGTGTGTGTGTGTGTGTGTGTGTGTGTGTGTAAAGAGATGGGATGAACAAATCCTTCCTTATTCTCAGTACCTTCTATATGTGAAGGGCAGCTGTACAGTAAGACTCCTCCCTGGGTTACAGAATCTTTGAACAATTGATTTCAATGTGGAGAAGCAAGAAGAGTCTAAAAGAATAGTAGAACTAGCTAGCCCCCATTCCTCTTTTTTTGTCACATGTAGAGCTCAGGCAAAAGAGCTATGAGTGAATGCCTCTTAATGTGCTTTCATGTTATCTACATTTATGTAAATATTCCCATCTGCAATTAATTTTATCTTTTATAACAAAATGGGGGTAAGTAGCTCGCTCGAGACTATGTTCTTTAAAATATTCACTGAAATGTCTTTATTTTATATTTATCGCTTGTAAATTTCAAACTGAAAGCTCATTAATAAACTCTAACCATTTTTAAAAAATTTAAATCATTTTCAATATGCTTTAAGAATGAACTTGCAGCTGCAGGACACATTCATAATTATAAAAATGCAGTCCTGTTTGAACCTCAACTCATCCATTCCCTCTGTGCCAGCAACCCCTTCCTCCCGTCACTGTTGAGCAGCAAAAATGAAAGAGGAAAGTGCCTCCTTAGAGTTATGTATAAAAATTCTCTTTTTATAATTCCATCTATTGTTAAGCAGCAAATATTTCCTGTCTTGCCCAAATAAATCCAGCTTGGACTGGATTTCACTTCAAAAGAGAAAAATGATCAAAATGATCCCGTCTAATTAAGGAACTCGATTACATATCCATTGGAATTTAAAGTATTCATTTGCAATGCATTCATTTTTATTACACTGTGACATTTAGTGAGTTTATCAGTAAAACCAATCAAAACTGTTTTATTGCTAAAAAGGTACCCTGCATAATTGACCAACTTTTTAATCTTATTTTTTGTGTGTATATACTGTATATATATATATATATATTAAAAAAAATTTAGGAAGCAGGCACTATCTTGGAAGAAGTTTTTTTTTTTTCACATTCTGAAGCTTTCTCCCCTAGGCTATGCTATGATGTTATTTTTTTAAAAAAAATAACAAGTATGCTTTTTCTCTGTAATGTTATTTTGTTCCATTTAGACTCCATTTCAGTTGATCAATTATCTGGCTTCTTTAATTATGTCTTTGACTGATTGATAGCCTGAGTTCTTACATACAAGTAGAATTCTATCTTTTCTTCTGGGTGGATCTGGCTAGCTACTTCTGATTTCACCCATCACAAACAGATCTCGGAGTACAGTTTTAAGGCTTAAATTCAGTTAGTGCTGCATAAATGGGGGATTTTGCTGCCATGTTTATATCTTCAGCTGTGTAATACTGACTAGGGGATTCCACATAAATATCTGGCACTGCTCCCAGAATTTTCATCCTTACATGTTTCAAATCTTGACTAAACTCAGAGGAATATTGGGATATTAACTGCAGCTCCACATTATCTACCCAACTTGAAATTCCAAGTGCACGTATAGCAGCAAAAACATTTCAGGAATTAATTAATGCCAATTAATTTCATTTGAGAACAGCACTGAGAGGTAGGAAGAGTTAAAGAGAGTTCAACTGTTTTAACGATGGTTGGATCTAGTTCCAACCATGGGAGCATTCCCTGACCAATTTCTGCTCACATTTCTCTTGCTGGTATAATGGGGGCATTTCGGTATAGAACCCAGTTTCATTCCCCTAATATTGTGGACCATAAGCAGCTTCAGAAAACTGCAGGAAAAGCGGTGAATTGGGAAAGACCAGCAGTTCTTCCATTTTATTACAGGGATTCTTCTCTTGGATCAGAAGTCACCAATGATGGAGAACCTTCTATCCACAGAAGATAGCTGCTCAGATCTAATTTCTAGCATGATAGCAGAACTTCACCTTGCAAAATATTCATTGCTATTGCAATGAAAAGTCACTGCATGAAGCAGTCATGATGATGTATGCCCCTGCCTTTCCCTTTGATTATGATCTCCTTTAATATGTTTCATTCCATTGTGCTTCAATGTCAAATCTGTTACCCAGCTACCTAGGACTGAAAGAATGCAGCAGGGAAGGGAGAAGGAGCAGCTTAAAAACAAAATAGCAAATTAACTGGAAAATAAGAATACATCAACTGCTCTGACCACAGATACACCACATATTTCTTACCTGGTTCTGATCAAGCATCATATGCAATAGCCACCAGCTAGTTACACTTTAATGCACTTTAAAAACTGTACAATTGTTCATATTCCTAACACATGCTTGATGGCTATTACCCTTTTTTTTACCATTCTGGGTAAAAGCACGTCAAGTGTTGCAAAGGATTTTGTACCCCGTTTTGGTGTCTTTCAGTCATACCAAAAACTTGTGCTCATTGAAGTTCATCCTTTTCTTCTTCTAATGCAGCATTTTCCTTTTTCAGGTGTGGCCCATTTCCTGTTCACTTGGAGCCACCTTTGGCTACGTGGCCGGTCTCCTTATTGCATCTTTGTGGATATATTGGAATAGGAAGCAGCTTACATACAAAAGCAGATAACTGGCGCAAGGAGGAAAGGCATTTTGATTGTGAGATCCCATGAAGATTGCACAGGGCTATGGTCAAAGCAAAAGGCTTTCCAAATCTTTTCAGAGCATTGTTGGGCTTTACTCTTCTTTTGTTTTACAGCATGGTCAACATGCACTGGCAATGTGATCATACATTTGTTGTATGTCCTAAACTACATTACTCCTGAGAGATTGTACATTCCTTCCCATATGAATAAAATCTTCACAGTAGATGATGCTTACTTCTTCGCATATTTGTGATTTTCTCCCTCCCACTCTGGGTTTCACCAAATGCCAGTTCCTAAAATCCGCTTCCCTGTCAATCAGTGGATTTCTTAATAAGGTGTTGCTGTCTTGAAGTGTATATTTGCACAGTGTCACAAGTTTCACAGTACATGTGGCCATTGTCCCAGCAGTTCTCATGTGATCAGGCAGCAATTAATGCATCTTGAACCTATTCTCTTTTTCATTGTGTGTTTCTTTGGAGTTAGAATGGCTATAATGGCTTCATCAAAAACAATCTTCAATCCTTTCTGCGTTAAAGCTGAGCATTCCACATAGCAATAGGCTCCTATCTGTCAAGAAAACAAATGCATTTAATAGCTACATAGACAGTCGGCATCTTCCCCAAACTCTATTAGTGAACTCAGGGGGCTTTCATTTTTATTGAAACATCAATGTTTGGTTTTTTATTTGTCTTTGCCCTGGGAAAAACATTCCAGCCCTCTACCTTCCAGAAAAAGAAGTTTGTCTTTTGGTGACAGATATAGACTTCTTTTCATTACATTCAGGGTTTGGGAAAAAAAACATTAAATATACTGGTGTTTTCAGTTTGTTTTACTTTCGGCAGTATATTTGTATCCGAGTCATTTTAGGAAGGTCTAAAGGAAGGCACAAACAGGAATTACCATATTTCAGAAAATTTTCTATGGCTAAATAAATTATCACTCCTGATATAAATATTATACTTTGGAGACTCTTCAAATTCAGATGATTATTTTAATTTTCTCAAACGTATTCTCAGTGTGTTCCATTGCCTTATATTGAAGTAGGTTATCTTTCAATTATTGAAAAATACTAAATGAACTCTTACTTAATAGTATTTAATACTATATATTATTCACAAACAAAACAGCTGTATTAACAGATAAGATTTATGTACTGCTTAATTCTTACACAGCTGCCTTTAAATGTAGTATAAAAATCTGTATCCTTGCTGCTCCTTCTCACTGAAAGAGAAGGAAATACGAAAATACTTGCTCATTGTTTTCAGTGGCACTAGTCCATTTGAAAAAAACAGAAATGCTAGACGTTTATTCCCTGAAACTGTGGGCACAGCTAGAATTTTGGGAGCACATGCTGCCCATGCCAAACAATACTGGCAGCTGGCAATGCAGGAAGTCTGGAAAGAAGTCACATATAGAAGAAAATGTGGAGCAATGCAGTATTAAATTTTAGGGATAATTTAATGTAAGAAAAGTTAAGGCAGAACCGATATGCAGAAAAATCTCTGTTTGCAATTAGTCTAAATGCAAATCCTCCACATCAGCTTCCTTATGGCCCTTGTTGTCCACAATTATCCATGTGATGCATAGCATAACATATCATCAGGAGGGCATTGGATTAGGGAAGTATTGTGGTTATGCAGTTTATCTGGAAATAATTGAACTAAAGGGCAATTGTCCCCCTTTTCTTTGACTCTTTTCTTTTTTCTTTTACTGAAAATGCTGTACTGATTTTATATTTTTATTTACTTCTTAGAGTTATGTCCTCTATGAAGGTGAAGGTTTGTTCTCTGATCTTGTGGGTTGGTTTCAGGACATTTCATTACGTCCTCTATATCCTATATCCAAGGATTCAAAGGGATTTACATGGAGATACACTTTCTTGTTGCCATGAAACAGCAACTTTCAAAGTACAGGTAGTCCTTGAGTTATGACGGCATTCCTGGCAACCATTGCAACCTCAGGATGTTTGGGTTATTAAGTGGGGTGGGGGTGGGCCTGCACCACACAGTGGGCCAGGTGAAGAGTGCTGGGTAAGGGGTGCACAATATAGTGGATAGGAGTTATGACGTGTGGATGTGCTACGGAGTACAAGTTCCATAGGATCTTGAACTCTTTAGTGGGCTCCTCAGGAAAAAAAGCAGCAGGAATAACTTACTGGGGTGACATGCAACCTTCCCTGGCAGCTTCCACATTGACTTTGCTTGTAGAAAGATGACAGGGAAGATTGCAAATGGCAATCATGTGACGTGGCACACTATGACTCTGTAATTGTAGCTGGGCACCTGAGCATTTGGATTGTAGTCACATCACCACAGGAATGCTGCAACAGTTGGAACTTCGAGGACTGGTCATAAGCCCATTTCTTCAGCACCGCTGTAACTCTGAGCAGTTGCTGAATGAATAGATTTAAGTCAAGGATTTTGTAGGTTGGGCTGATCCTTTTGTATGGATGCTGCAAGTCTTTTCATACAGAAAGATAAAATAAAGGTAGGGGAAATATAATACACATACGGTAATACCAAGAAGATTTGAACTCTTAAATCTCCAGCTTACCTCTTTTGCTAATTTAACGCCCTGCTCCATACATATTGGTTTTTCTTTCATGTCATTTAGCCGTGCTAATGTTTTAGGATCATCACGAAGATCAATCTGTTAGGAAAGTTACAGAAGATATGTACACTTCCTTCTACATGATACGAATCAAACTTTACATCACAGACTTTATCAAAAAAGAAAATAGAAGTGACTCCAATACAAGGTAGCAATGCTGATGTCTCACAGAACACCTTGGGGTTTAAATTAGGCATGATTAATATTGAACTTGGTGAGATTTAACCGCACTAACTCAGGCTAATTCAATCTATAACCTTTGCTTTAACTGGAATCTCAAGCCTATTTCCGTAAGGTACATTGTGGTTCAAATGAACTGTGTGCAAATTAAAAGGCCCTATGACATTTCCAGAGAATGCCCTCAAAAAAGCATTCTCCCAAAATTTTAGCTCAGCATACAAGAAGCCAAGAGCACAGAAGAATCAATAATTTGAATATGAGAGGCAAAGATTTTTTAATTTTCCTACTTATTTTCTTTCTTCTGTTTATTCTGAGACCAGAAATCAATTAAGGAAAAAGTTTGGAGGAAATGTGCAGAAGAAAATTGGTAGCTGGAAGAAAGACTAAATGATCCCCAGGCCATTTGTAGTTACATATTTGTTCATTGATTTATTTCACTTAGGCACCACCAACTACAGAAAACATAAGAGATGTACAAATTACACTTATTTTTAAAGAAGTAAACAAGATTGCAAATCCAGCCAAAGGCACAAAACATATCTCATGCACCCAGCAACGGGCTTCATCCATCTCAGTCAGAACCTGAGAAAAAAGCCAGGTTTTCAAGGCCTCCAGAACATCATCTGAGGGGGAACTTGAAAGTGTCTCTGCATGACTACTGGTAAACTGGTGCTTGTGAAACAGTTATTTCATAGACACAACTACTCTTTGAAGCTTCAGAATATATTATGGGCCTTTGTGGTTTCAGGGATACAGATATTGAGAGCCAACTTATTTCTGGCTCAACTGGCATATTCGAAGCCATAGTAAAACTTGCCTTTTAGAATTGCTGCAGCTCTATCGAGCTAGTTTGTTTCTATATTTGTGAGCTCCCTACTGCTGATTCAAGCAGGTCTTTCAAGGTAAGAGTGAGCTGATGGCTTTGCAGCCAACTCATTCACAGAAATCATTTAGATATATTGCATAGAGATAACCAGATAGGTGGGGGTGGGAATACAAGCATTTTTAAAATTTCCTTGGTGCAGAAAAGGAATTTGGAGATTTCCAGCTTTCTAGCATCAGTGGCAGGGCAGTGAATACATGAAAATACTTGCTCACTGTTTTCAGTGCATGAAGTCTACCTGATTTATAGGAATTAGGGAATAGGATTACCGATGATACTCCCTCAGCGTGTAGCTCTATCTTGAAATTCAGAATTAATTTCATGGTTAACTTTTCAAGATGAAAAAAGAGGGAAATGGTAAGATGCATAAATTGTGAATAAAAACTGGGAGAAAAAAAAGCAGGGTCTGCTTTTGCAGTAATATATATCTGAAACTATATATGGGGTGGTTGAAAAGGAGGATGGTACTTTCTTACCCACAGGGTACCCCCACATTTCTATTTGGAAAGCCAGTGGTGGGCACTAAGCCCACAGACTGCCAGTGTCACATGGGTAAAAATGGGTGAACCAATTCTCACCCAGAGGGTACACAGAGATGTGTATCTGTGTATATATTTATCAGCAAAGGAAACCACAAGACTCTTCATTCCATCCAACTGCAGCATGTGATACCCATGCTTGTCTGAATCAGCTGTTTGGATCCCATAATTACTGCTTTATTGTTTGTAAGCAAATACCCTTTTTGTTCATAGGCAGAGCACATCAAAACACACAGCTTTGCTTTCAATTTAAATGCTGAAAGAAGTTTTAAAAATTCATAAAGAGGACAAAAGGGATGGAGGTTTTCTCAAAGGGCTTGGTTCCCTAACAAGAGCAACAAAAGTAGATTAAGATGCAGTTTTGTTTTATCTCTTCATTGGGAGGGTTTCTCCATTCCATAGTTAATCTTTCAAGGTCTGTTTACAACTAATGGTGTTAATCACAGAAGGACTAGAGGGCTCCAGTTGTCCCTTCTGGCTCTAAAATTAGATTGCTTTGGATGCATTTCTTGTTATTTTAGTTGCAAACTAGAAATGCAAGCCTACATGCTTGGAGTGTGCAAGGGGTGAGGAAACTGTTGCTTGATTGGAAAGAGGGAGAAGCTACATTTATGTGACAAAGGAAATTATAGGTATTTAGACTTCTTCTGAATTGTAAGTGGTTAAGCCAAAGATTTTATGGGAAAGGATGGATTTGAAAAGAATGTTCAGGGCAAAATAAAAATGGCACTATACTGCGAAGGGCATTGTGACACAAGAAACAATTAAAATGGACACAGCCCTTGAAGAACTTAGGAATCTGTTTAACAGCTGATAGTAGTAGAGTTAGAGAGGTAAAGATCATAGGAAGGAACATGTCAGTAATCTTTAAAGGTTCTGAGAATATTTCAAAGGCAAAAATGCGCAATGCATGTACTTTTGTAATGGAAGAAGAAAATATCTTGCTACTTTGGATGGACAGATGGGCGGACGGATGGATGGATGGATGGATGGATAGACGGACGGTTGGGTAAGTAGGTAGG